ATTTATAATGGTTTTTTTCCTTACATACATCCCAGTGTATGTTCCATCCTTGGTAAAATCTCTAATTTTTTCCCCTATAATATGGCCCAATATGTCACGCCATTCTTCAAGGTTCTATTAGTTTTGTTCTCAGTATCATTAAAACAACCATATAAACCCTTAGGGGCAGTCTTCGGCTCTGCTTCCTGCAATAGTTCTTCCTTTATAACCTTTTTTCATTAACTTTACATTGCTTAGAGTCAGAGATGACAACTCTATTCTCAGCACATAGTTGTCCAACACTAATCAAGTTTTCATTTGCGCTGGGGACGTGTAAAGCTTTCATGTCGATAATACTGTGGACTTGAAAGCAGCGATTCATTAAATTTTAAGATGACACTCTACGAAAGTTATTTACTTGTTCTTATTATATAATGAATGAGAACACAATGATAAATGACACCTGTATTCGGAGATTGAAAACCGAAGCAGACTGGTCTGAGTGGAGTATATATCTCGAGTCTGACTTACACTGACACCGTGGAGACCACCAACTGATACCCGATCTACAGACTGAAGAAAACTTGATCTCTACTAATGACCGTCCTTAGTGATCTTATTACGAGAAGTTCGAGGGACGGAAATAAGCTGTGAACTTCAATGAAACCTATACAGAGTCCTTAATAATAAATTTAACGTTATTACGGAGAGCATGCTTTTGGCCTTAGAAGAAAAATTTTTACAGCCAGAAAGAGTGAAATTGAAGACATTAGGGCTATCACGAATAGGATCAACTTGTTGAGCTACAGAACAGAGCATCAGGACAAGTCAGCAGCTAAAATTAGTAACCGAATGAAATTGACCAGGTTCCTGGGGGCGCCGCCCAATGATGAGATCTGGGCCTCTTTTAAGAAGAATGTGTTAATGAATCGAAACAGCCCTGGAACAAAAAATGGTTAAGAGGAGGTTCTTAATTCAGCAATTTTATGGAAAGTTACGATGAAACAGCAAGTTCAAGCTAACCGGAGATTCGCTGATGATAAAAATTAGAAGGCCTGATTCACAAAATTGGCTATTAATAGGAATAACAGAGGTGAATAAATTATAAGGGAAGAAAAACCTAGGAGTTCTATACGTGTGGTAAACGTGGTCATATTGCTAGATATGGTAAATAGGCAAAGTAAACAAACACCTTTTCTTAGTAGGAATAGGTACTGGTCAGTAAGCTTATCTACCACAAGCAGAGGCGGGCTGTTCACATAATTAAGGGTAGAAAGTCAATTAAAATTTATAGACCCTGCAAAGAGAGGATATTATGGGTAAAGTGGTTATGTGCCTGCAGAGAGTACAGGAAAATATTTGAACTGAAAAACTTTACACTTCCCCAGCGAAAGTAAAAACTTGATTAATATGGTACAAGAATACGTTATATAATTAAAGTTGCCATCTTTGACTCAAAGGGTTCTCAAGGAAGACCTACTGCGGGATGCAGAGTATCCCTAAGGGTTTATATGGTTGTTTAATGTTACTGAGAACAAAACTAATGGAACCCTTGAAGAATGGCATGATATACGGGGCCATATTAAGGGAGGATAATTGAAGAAAATTTTCAAAGATATGGAATATACACTGAAGTGAAAAACATAGACTGGGACTTATTTAAAGAAAAAAAACTTTTTATAAATCAGTGGTGATTCAAACACAATGCAATATCATAGACCTTTGATATTCAAAAGGTGCGTTTATACAACCAAAAAGAAGCATCGTCCATTGAATCCTCTTGTCGTTCGGTATAGTGAACGCAAAGTGTTTTTCTGAAATCGCGATGTATAGCTCTCTGGTAAAATCCCTTAGCATTGTGCAAACTAGTAAAGATTTATCGCCTCTCGCCTTCATAATTAAACGCTTTTTTGCCACGCTATATCTTCTTACAACACACCACTTATGAAAACCTTACAGCGCGTCACACATTCTCAGATACTTTTCTGGTTAGTGCTCTTAACTCTTGCCGGTTAGCATAATTGTGTTTAGGTTTTTTAATGACATTGGCCATGATTTCACTCGTAACTTTTGAGAGCTCTGACAAACCAGGATACAGTAATTTCTCACACTCTCTGATAATTACTTTTTTCTTTAAAAAACCTTGATCTCATTCTTACACCATATGGGAGAAGCACTCTTTTCAACGTAACTTTAAGTGGTTCCGACCGCGAAACGCTTTTTCTCTCTGGCTTCCTTATAAAGTTATAAATTCTTTTAGCTAAACGGCTCACCATTGACTTTTTTACTTCCCTTCATATCAACCGCTGTAATTCCTATTAAAATCTTTCCGTCACATTGTCTTGTTTTCGAACCAATTCGTTCTCATCCTAAAGTAAGCTTTCCTCGATCCTTTCACCAAAACTAACCGTTCCCTTCTCTATAAGATTTTCAGTCTTATAGTGCATATGAGACCGCGAGGGTCCTTTAACGTTAACTAATGGAAAGCCCAGATCCTGAAGATCCTTTTAGCCAAGCAGTGAGTCCACATCTCTGCAAAGTCTATGCCTCACTAAGTAGACTCTTAACCGCTTGTCATGTTATTTAACTTAATTCAACACAGTCAGGTTATTCACCTCCAAAACTAAGCTGCCTTACATTTAAGAATAGGTGTATGTTTCGTTTCGCTCACCATTTTAAAAATAACATAGCTTGTATCAGAGTCTCTATCTCCCTTGATCTTACATTAATAGTCTTTAAGTTGACTATAAACTAGACTATTACTACCACCTCTACAGCTATCGCTCCAAACACTATAACTCCAGTAAAAGTTTCCCTTTTCGGAGATCTTACCCCTTCGGACCATTACTAAATAGCGTCTTACCGGTTATTGAATCCAGTTATTAGAATGATCCGCTTGCCCTGCCAGCCTTTTTATATAGCATTCAAAATTTTTACTGAAGAGCCTATAGGAATTCCTTTTCAGCTTCCTTCTCTACTAACTGTAAATATCTCGTTATAAAACTTTCTTACTAAGTTAAGCCCACTTCTTTTATAGCTAAACTCTTCAATCCTTACCAGGTAACGCTCTATTAGACACAAAGTTTTCTCAAAGTCGACTTTGCCTTAACTCATTATAAATACGAAAAAAAATTATGCGTAGTAGCTATATGGAGTAAAATTGTTATTTTAGAGCACTGAAACTACCTACTCTGGTGACCGAAGTGTAATAAAGATCAATAATTATACATTATAATATATTAATTCTACTACCCAGCGACGCTACTCAACGCAAGAAGCAGGCCTCCGAGCAACCAGCGATAGAAGGAAAAAAAGATCTTTTTTGAGCTGCGCCACTGGCTAGCTTATATAATTTACAACTTAATCCTCACTAAATTATATTCACTTACTAACTACTTGTCAGTCAATATAAATAATGTAGGCCCCCGCAGGAGAATATCTTTGTTTCCTGGGTAGAATGTGTACTGTGATATAAGGGAACAGCCTTATGCATATCACATTTATTATCTAGTAAATAACTGTCCATTTATTCCTAATTTGCGGTATACATGAATATTATCACTTGTTACAGCTACTACCCGTGATAGTGCCATATTGAGGGGTTTTCCAGAACATTTAATCCTTAGTTGCGTGCTAGAGCACACCCATCACCGACTTGTAAATGGCCACACTATTATTTATCACCAATAATATATGCCATCCCATCTTACGTTTTCTTTAGAGATATTCATTCTTTATACTTTCATCCCACCGATGGTAGCATATAGCCGTAACAAAGGTTGTATTTAAAATTTTATAACCCAACTCGTGTGCCATCGCTTGTGGAAGCGCTAGAATTGATTCTTAGTACGAAATTTAACTCTAATGGTAGCCATTAAAAGCAAAAAAGGAATACCTATGGAAAATTTAGCCCCAAAGGTTTAGCTACTTTGCACGTGACATACTACGAGGCCACGAAACTGTACGAAACTATACCCTCTACTAAATTCAGATTAAGTTTACATAAAATACATGAAAAAAATCTATGGAATTTTTAAATTAAATTTTTTCATCAAAAGGTACTAGCCACCTTAAATTTTAGTTCTTGTTTGATATTAATTAGAGAACTATCGAACATAAAAGATACCAACCCTTGACAGCTGCATTAACACGAATGGTTCAAATATATAATTTTCTTTTGCAGAGAAGGATGCAAATCTGTTTATATATATCATACCTCATACACATGGCGGTAGTATGGTAAATAGCGTGGTAGAGAAGTTCTATCGACAAATATTCTTTTCACAGAGGCTTTTCAATTGTTGTAAGAAGTTATTTTCTCGTTTATTACATAGAGGTCATATATTTACAGTATGTTTGATTAAAGTATTTTGTCATATCATATATGCTCCTAATAGCTCAAGTAGAAGAAAAACAGAGAAGCTATCCTTTATAAACTTATAAACTTATATTTAATAGCAGAAAAGTGTTCTATTACAATTACTTATACTAAACCTAAAAAGATTAATGTGCTTCAAGGACTTGAACGTTTTGTCTCAACAAAGAAAAGTAACTGGGTAAAAGCTAGGATGCTGACTTGATTATGATACCCATGCTGATTTTTTCTTCTAAACGCCAACGTCTCTTTACCGGGTAAATCTTCCCACACTTCCAATTTAATCTATGCTAATGTATTCACAAGCCCGTCAACGGTAAGATTTTCTTTTAAAAAATTTTATAGAAACTTTTTTTGTTTCACGCTTTTGTTCGGTTTTAAATTAGTGCTGTTTTAAGGTTTAAATGTTAAAGAATTCGAAATATATTTTCCTTTACTTTGAATAATTTTAAAAATATATAAGCAATGAAACAATAAACAGACTAAACGTAAAAGGCGTAAAACTAATATAAGGAAAGATTTTCTGATATAAACTATTTAGATAGTTGCTCATTTTAAATCGAGTTGTGTGATAATCACTGGGTTTTGATTATCCAATAAAAGACCTTGCTAGACAAGCATTGTTGTTAATGGGAACGTCCTCTAAATGACGAAAACAAGAGAGAGTATGTTTAATCTTTAGTCTATTAAATAGTAAAAAAAATTTAAAAGATTTTTATTATTTTTCATTTTAATTCCTATTTAGACCTTAAAAGTTCAGATAAAGTTGTTTTTTATGACAAACTTAAACGTCAATTCTATAATGGAACAATTCGAGCAGCCGAAAAGACGGGTAATAAAACTTTATATAAAATAGCCTTAGACGAGGAGGCCATAAAGGTGGAAATAGAAGTACCTTCACTAAACATAGTTCGTCTACAACAAAATATCTATACAGGTTTAATATAACTTTTAGTTTTTAGTCAATAGTAATTATTTCTTTTAGCTTACCATTATTTGAACTTGGAAAAACTATTTGAAAAAGTGCTATCTTCTTCCAGCGTTAAGCAAGTTTTATCTTTTGCTAATGACAACAAAAATCTAACAACCAGCGAAAATAAGGGCCTTGTTGATTTTTTACAAAGTAACCTATATACTTTTATGCAAGAACCAACTCTAATTTTAAGGTTATTTAAAGTCCTTAGAAAGCATCAAAAGCATGAGTACACAACTTTAGAAGAACTTAAAGATGACTTAACGTTGCTGGTGGATAGTGCTCATAGATATTCTGGTAATAATAGAGCTCAAGTGATAAAGAGTGCGGAGGAAATAAAAGTAAACTAGTATCTAATAAAGTTCAATATTCTAAATTATTCTAGGGCAACTATTTTTACAACTTTAGACTTTTTTTCTAAAAATTTTAGCTGCTCTAACGAAACATGAAGGTGCACTTCTATGCCTTATTATAATGCTATATTATTTATTTTATTAATTTATCAAGAGGAGAATGACGAAGATCCTGACTGGAGGATTTTAGAATTTTCTAGCGAGTTTGCATTTGTTTACGACTGCTGTAAAAAGTGTGGCGCTGTGTGTACAGGAGAATATGTCACATGCTCGACCTGTTGCGAGTCGAGTCATCTGAGTTGTTGTGATTCTGTCGCTCAACTAAAACAAATTAACCGATATAAGGTGTCCAAGTCATCTTGTGGTGTATTACTATATCATGTTGTTGTTTTAGAATTGGAAGTACAACTGTCTTTCTTGTATCGTCTGTGAAAAGTGTGGAGAGGAAGATCCACAGGATGAACTTCTAGTTTGTGATGACTGTGGAAGGTCTCTTTTCTTTTTCTTACTATAACCGAAGGGCATCAGTAAGATTGTTTTGGCTGCTTTGCGTAATAAGAACCTTTCATTATAAAACCTGCTTGGCCGAACCCTTGAAAAATATTCCCGAAGGTCCTTTTAGCTTTTTAAATATCTTTGTCCACCATTTTGGACGTTTTCAATTTTTTTTTATTCCAACCCTTTAATATCTGAAGCACTTTCCTTCTTAATTTCGAGTTTAAAATTCTCTTCTCTACCTTTATAGGCAACTGGTTTTGCGGTAATTGCCAGGCACCAAAGCCCGTCCGCTCGAAACTTGAGCTCGTTCACCTATCGAGCTTGACAAGCTTACCCGATGGTGTGATTATTTGGTTTAATGAGTCGATAAACTTTTTATTATAATCTTCTTTAACTGTAATAACAATGAATACTTAAAGTTACTGAACAAGAAGATGACCGAAAGTGCAGTCTCTGCCACCACAGAGGCCACGGAATAAGTAAGCTGTACATAACCGTGAGTAGGGCTTGTGCGTCGTCTTTTACTTTAAATTCGCACTCTTCCAATTTACGTTTAACCTTTAATTTTTTATAATTCTTTTTTGGGCTTTGGTTTTTATGTAGTGCTTACCTTAATTATAACGGTAGCAGGGGATCTGCTCTACGCTGCATACGACATCTGGGTCCATAAGGCCTGCGCCTACTGGGCTTTTTCTGTCCGTGAGGAAATGCTGGAGCACTTACTTTTCAACGTTCTCAGTGCTATCCGCCTTGGAAGCTTTCATGTACACTGTGATATGAACGATAGAATGTGGTAGGCAGCGGGTTTGTGCGTGAAAGGCAATCCTAAGTTTTGCAATAGTGGCTTTGTTAAAATGATCATTCGCTTCGTTGGGCTTACATTACGCATTTGTTTCCCGTATTGTCCAGGAAGAGTATTGTGTAGAACAAGCACGTGTTCTTTGCCGTTGTCTACTCTAGAGTTAGTAAAAAAGCGGTTTCCGACACCCGCCCGTACCTACCGGTGTAACATGTAGGTAACGCAGTTCACTAGAAATGCCAGCTGTGCCAACGAGCGGGGGCCACCGTCATGTGTACATATAAGGACCAGGAAGAAATAAATTGCCCCCATGCCTACCATCTGCCATGTGCTGTTGCGTCCGGGTATCACCTCTAGCTTTTTTTGAATAAAAGGAAAGTTGCATGATGAACAACTCTTCTCTAGGTGCCTGTTTTTGCAAAAGAAGCGCATGCAGTGCTCCCAACACCGTAAGGATAACTCGGAAAAGTTGCGTTTCTTTATACCCTGCACTGTCACTGTTTATCACGGCCGCTCTCTGTATCTAGAGGGCTCCTATCTGCGCAGTACCTGCAGTTGCATCGACCGTTAGTAATTCACACTTCGTTCACCGAACTTCCGGACCTTCCCAAAGAACCACTCTTTGTACGCCAGTCGAACATCACAATCCTCTCCGCAGGAAGGGGTTGAATTTTGGGTTACGCCCTTTTTGTCACTTTCTTTTTACTTATTCTTAATAAGGAAAACAAAGAGTCGGTTTTAAATGTTTCAAAGTCTACTGGAGTGTAGTGAAAAAAGGTTTAGCGTCTTAAAACTGCTACTTTTTATTATAATTTTACATGGTAAGGAGTGAGATATCCGTATCTGTTCTCTATTCTTCCCGATGGAGTCTTCCAGCTAACAGGCGACGGTCTGTACCTGACTAATAAAAATCTGGGAGGTTTATAATTGTAAAGTTTGAGAGCCGATACGTTTTACTTTATTGTTAAAATGATGTAATATCGTAGACTTTGGGTCTTTAGCTCTCAGGCTATTTATAGATTTAGGTAATGATTTCCTTTCGAAGGTCCAGAAAATATACTTCCCCAAGAATAAAGTCAGCCCTGCGCTATTCGACTTTGAGGCCTTTTTTGGTCTAAAGTATTCACTTTTTTTTAGGCTTATATTCGATATACATCTTACCGCTAACAGCGTCTCACAGCCAATGTTCGCCCTTCCGCCGAAAGTGCCTAGCGAAAAAACCATCAATCAATGGATCTATCGCTTGCAGACCAATCTCATTGTAAAGGAGAACGGCCAGTCTCTGTCATACCGTGAATGCTTATATTTCTAGTAAAGCTCTTATTTTTCTTTTTTTAGAGAATTAAAAAATCCCGAGGGAAAGCAAAAAGGACGAGGTCGTGCATGAGCCTTGTTGGGCAGTTCTACACTAACTAACATGAATTCTATTGTCTAGCCCAAGAACCCAATAAAGTGCCGCGAGACGGTGCTCCTGCGGAGCCTACTCTCGAAACTCTCTTTGGAGTAGCATCGAAAGAGACAAGGGAAAATTATGTGGAGAGCAGCAGAGAAGGGGGGAGCCCCGCCAAACTAAGGAAAGTGGTGGACGCTGAAAATAATGAACTCTCTCAACTTGAAAATTCTTCATCCGTCGCAGAACGGAAAGTTACTTTTCCTCAGACAGCAGCTCCTGCGAGTGCCGATTTATGTACACCTGCTCCTACCGATCTGCCGGAAAGTTGTCCAGCTACTGGCTCGTCCGAAGTTCAAACAAAGAACTTGGTTCCTACCCCCACCACGCCCGTGCAACATGTGCCATGCGTCAAGGTGATGATCATTAGTTCTTTTCAGTGAACACATGCTAATGAAAGCAGGTTTTTGATGTTCTCTGTAATAAAACGCTTCTTGGTGTGCGCGTGAACTCCCCGTATCTCAACGTTATCTACTTCATGCCATGTCAATGCGAATTTCCCTTTCTGTACGGAAACAAGTACGAGGAGAGTAAAATTACAGATTGTCAAGGTTCTGTGAAACACTCTTTTTAATAGTTTGTGCTTTACTTTATACTTCTAAAGACTTTAATATCGAAGAAGAGTTCATCCGCGAGAGAGAAAGCCTTGCGCTTCTGCTTTATAATATTTTAGAAACTCAAACGAAGATATTTAAAATGGCCGTAAGCACCTTTTGAACTGTACGCGCTTTATTACAACTTATAATAACCCCGCAGAAAAACTTAAGAGAAAAACAAAAAGTAGCCATAGAAACTTTTATAAAACTGAAAGTTCCTGATGAGGTGCAAGCAAACTACAGGCAGCTTACAGAGCCGCCCGCTGCCGGCCCCAGTCGATGATGGGAAAGACGCCCCCGCAGTAGACCACAAGCAGTAATCTCCCCTTCTAAAATCAATAAAGTACATTAAGCAAATTAGTTAATGAAGTCCACCTAAATACACAACCAGTATAAATAAAAGCGCAGAAAGTGACAAATACCGACTCTTCGCTTGCCACTCTGCCAGTCTCCCACCGCTCTTAGCGCTCTATTCTATGCCTTCTAGAAACTATAACCCGCCGATGACCCATTAAGCTCCCTCTTTTAAACTAATAGGGTCTTTCGCTTTCACGTTTGTAGTAAGCATTTTTCCGCAAGTCGACAAGTTGCTGTCAAGTCATTGCCTGTGAATATTTATATAAATTGCCGGTCAAAGATTACTACAATAACCTATAAGAAAACAGCTTTTCTTTTAAATATTTCGTTAAGAAATAAACTTGTCACCTTTTCGTTACTGCGATCACTTCACTTAATAATGCCACAAAGGAAATATCACGAGACAAATTCTGTTTATGGACTTCTAAATACGCGATTGCCCTCAAATAGAGTTCTTTATCCTACGAGTTTCATTGATTTGCTATTTGTCTACTTTAAGGGCTTGTCCTTTTTTTTAATGTAAAGAGGACAGGTTAAGTAGAAAACTCTAAACCCAGGCATATTCTTACGCTTATAGAAAACTATGTGCGGGGTGGACTAAGCAGACAGAGCCTCCTGCAGTTGACAGTTGCTACCAAACTAATTAAATACGTTTCTGTATATTGCCTTGCTGCAATGCCTTGCGGCGTTCTTAGGTTACCAAACTCTCTGCTAATTAAAAAGGTTTCTTGAGCGCTTTAATGTGTAAAGCGGTGCCTATATTAACCAAATAAGGCAATTATTAGTACAGCCTTACATTCTGTAGTTTGAACGTTAAATTTCTTTTGTTGCCTTGAATAATAACATATAAAACCTTTTGTTATGAAGTCATCTTGGTAAACCTTTTCTTTAGCACCTTTTTATTGAATCTTTTAAAATAAAAGAGTTATTACTCATAACTGAATTCAAACAAACATCCATTGCGCACTATTTAAAGGATGCATGACCAAAAATACCGAAGTACTGGACCGAAAAAATGTACCCTGGGCCCTAGCTGACACCTTTTTAACATAATATTTAAACGTGTATATTTAATGGGAGCCAGTTCATGCTTAGGGGTTAGGTGAAGTTTCATATGAAAATCAGAAAAGAGTAGGCGAGCACGTACGTGGTTTACAACATAAAGTATATAACTATTCGCACAAAGTTTTAATTTACACCGTTAGAGGGGCCTGTTAGTGGTGCTGCATGTATACGGCGTTAAAAGTCTCGTCTCGATCAAAGAAAGCGTCCTAATCCCGCATTAATATAGTATACACTAGGAAACAACACTATTATATATATATCATTATAAAGAACCATTACCAAAGATTGTAATGCTATATGTGCAGTTAACACTATTTTATATGCTGAAGAAGGCGGCGAGAAGAATACTACAACTCTAGCATAGTACTATGAAGCAATACATGTATTCCAGAACCAGTTTTCAAGTGGTCTGAAAGCATCTTCAATCAATGCGAAGTGTGTCATCACGTATCCCTTTTCATGTTAAGTTTATTCGAGTCATAATAACACACCTTTAGCTTTCATCCGCAACTATTTAACAAATATGGAGTACTACACCCAACGAATACCCAAGATAGTTAGGAGAATCCAACATTAATTCATCTTGTTAAAAGCACCCGGCATAAATGGCGGTCAAGAACACTAGTATATCAACGTAACCACCAAATGTACATAAAGATGAAGAGCACGATGCATAGATTTATTAGATTAGATAGAAGCCCTAACTTAGTAAAACCAGCGCGGGCACCCTCATTCTTGTCAGTTCAGAGGTAAAATAGAACCTTTTACAAATGACAATGTTTACTATACGTTTTACTATTATTAAGAGATTTTCTTCCGAGTCGTGAGGACCGTCAAATCAATGTTCCCAGCTTCACCCAAGGCTCTCCACCGGCCCCTATCCTAGCATGAGTGAGTTAACCTAAGCATGGTAATCATTTTCATTATCCTCGGTATTTAAGCATTCTCCTGAATTGAAGTCAGTACTAGGGATTAGGCAGAAATAGTGAAGGGTTACTAACACAATGATGATAGTCACATGCCTTAATTAGAGAGTGCACCCCTAGATGGTGGTCTAATATACAACGTTAATGTCAGTAGTTAGAGGTTACCTGTAAATCTCTCGAATTTTAGAAAGATGCTAGGTATAAATTGGTAAAAGTGCTATTAGAACTGTTAATCAGGGTATTCCAGCTAAGTTGACACCATAACCTAGTAATTTAGTCGCTAATCGAAGCACCATCATTGCCGCTTTGGTCCCAAGCCATAAAATGCCAGCGAACACTTCGCATCACTATTATATAAACGCTGGAAAAGCATGTGTTCGCTGCAACGCGGAACCGTTTTTTACTTTAAAATTATGACATTCAAGCCTCAATAGCGTTGATCGATGCGAAAGAAGGATAACGAGCTTTAAAGGAGTGTTTCTGCTCCCTTTAAACATGTTTTTTCCGGGGTTTAATTATTTAATTAATAATCTATTACCTAAAGAATTAAAATTTAATTGCTAATTTTATTTAGTGTAAAAGACCTCTGCTCAACTTCTAACAGCGCATCAAAAGAATTTAACCACTAGCAACGTTTGATCTACCTCTCTTAAAAAGAAAGCGATTGTTTTAATTTGTCAGGAAGTGTTATGGTTTATCCCCAGTCTAATGTTTTCAGCTCCTCATCAAATACCTAGCTAAGATCGTCTTTTAAGTTATCCCCAGTATTCTACTTGTAACTTTGCTTATTCAAGTCAAAATTACATGTAGAATAAAAATCGATACCCCCCCCTAGAATTAGAGTAAACTCTTCCGTCTAGATAATGTTCATTTCCCTTGGTTTTACATTATAATATACCAATCAGTCGGCTCTTTTTGTTGATAGTTAACATTAGATTTGGAGGCCTTTAACCCACTGCTATCTATTTTTCTAGCGACTAGCAAAGCACCATCAACAATCCCATTTAATGAATGTATAGGTGTACCTGATGTGCAGCTTCTACTATAATTTAAGGCCCTTCAATTACTTTTTTTGCTTATTACAGTATTAATGCTAAGATTACTGTGCTTCAATATTTGCCTGGTAATTTTTATTATACAATTGTATTTTTAAGTACTACAAAGTTGACTACTCGATCTAAGCTGGACATCGATTGAACGGCGTTTTATATTACAAATAACATTAATGCACAAGTACTTTTAATTTTAGTTTAATAAAAGAAAAACTTAGCCAGGATTTCTCCATAGTTTGCATTATTAGTTTAGTTTCTTTTGAAGAGGAGACTGTAAACAATACTATTTAGTAAAAAAGCAAATTTCACGGTTAGCTAGGCCGCTCCATGTCCTATTTACCAAAAGCAGTCTAGTTAGAACCCGCTCCTATTTAACAGTTCTATTTTACTAGTACTATTCGATATATCGATCAGTGTCAGACTTCCTCAGTACGTGAACCAAAATTTTTTTCTCCAGGAAGGAACCTAGTGTCGTTAGTAATCGATCATTACCAAAGCATTCATAACGTTTAAATTCGATGTTTGCTACTCGCACTAAACGTCCATTGGCTCGAAAACCTGAGTTCCAAAGCTTCCATGTTTACAATTTATATCCAAGGTCTGTAGTGGTAACAGTGTTGGATCAGCACTCTCACTTCCTTACTAGATTAACCCGTTTAGCTTAAAATTATAGTTCGAGGGTTTTTATATAAATGATGCCATCAAGTGTCTATCATGGAAGGTTGTGACCTTATTTAGTTGTAATGAGTACGCAGTTAAATAATTATTTTTCTTCTCTTGTAGGTATATAAATTAAACGTCTTCTTCCTGATTCAAACGAATTTTGCAGTATTTTTTATAAAGCTCTATCTTTACGGGTCTTCATTTTTGTTGTTTTCGATTATTGTTCTGCGGTCTTCTTAATTCGATTTCAACAGTTAAGTATCCATAGTGCCCTCATTTGGTTTCCTACGGTTAGTTCGACCTTCTTTGCTACCTTGCTTTACGGTAGTTTCTTCTACCTAGCATTAGTTACTCTCTATGCCTTGTTACTCGATCATACATTTTGGGGCTTTTTATTTTCATAAGAGTTTATAACCGGCTTGGTTATAAAAAGGGTCTAGCCGAATTTTGTAAAAATAGAATGTAGTTAAAAATTATAAAAGTAAATTAAAAGTATTGAAATTAATAAATCTGTGACTATTAATAATAAATTAAAGCTTGAGGTTTTAATTTATAGTAAAATGCTTCGTGGTATCTATACTAAGGAAACGGATTCAAAGAACCAATCAAGGTTAGTATTGCTACCAATCCACTTCCTTTCCCCTTTAATGAGTTACCTATTATAGTAATTTTTTGTTAAAAAGACAAAGTTTATCTCATGTCTGTAGCACCAAAAAATTTCCATAAAATTATAAACTAGAAGCATAGCTAAACCCTAACCTTCGCTCTAGTCAAGACGGATAAGATTATTCGTAACTTGTAAAGGAGAAAACCATAAGTTTTTTTCACCAGTTACTTACAGAATTACACTGATTAAATTTGAATTAGTTTATTCAATGTTGACGGAAGTTTGCCCAAATAAACGAAAGTAAAATATAAATGAATAAACTCTGACTCTTACTGGATTCTGAGGATGCTTTGATACTTGCATTAGAGTTTTTAGCCCGTCTTAGATAGTACAGACACCATGAAAGGTGAAAAGTATCAATTAGTTAACAGCTGGCATGCATATGCGGTGTTGTTATCCTTCATTTGGAGCATCTCCAGTGTAGTACTAAATAAACATAAAAATCTTATCGTTTTTTACTAGGTTGTAGTACAGCAGAACGCTCTAGTTGGTTAACCCGCGATTCTAAAAATTAAGAGATTCACTCAAATGCCAACTTAATAAATCTAGCAACCGGTTTCCTAAACTAGTAATTCCGAATTATTTTACAGTTCCCTAGTAATGCTTCTTTATTGAAGTCGGTTGGGTTTTGGTTAGAGATAGAACAGGGCCTTGTGTTTAAATTGTGTAAGGTTCTACCTGGCCTTTAAACGAGTAATGTCGAAGTTGGCAGCGAGGTAGTTCTAAGATCCTTTATAAAATAGTAAGCATTTGGTGGCTAATGTTCATTTAGTGTAGGATTGTTCTATTGATGTAGAATCATTCTATTGAGATAGCATACTTATCATCACCTATAATTGGTTTCAAAAGTATTGCTGCAATGAGTGCTATTGTCTCATATTTAATACCACTAAAATAGAAACGGGTGGCACTAATAATTGAGCTTGATCAAATCCAAAGAATCGAGTTTTACTTTACAGATACAATAACCATAATTTAAGGTGCTATACCGCGATCACCTTTAATAAATGCTAAATTGTCCAATGAGTGATGACTAATAACACTATGCTTGTTTTTAAGCACTGATGCAGTCGAACAATTAAAAACTTATATAGCTACGGCACTTGTAATGCTGTAGCTGAATACTATAGTTGAATACTTAAGTTAATACTTTAGTGGAATAATGTAGTAGAAGACAATGAAGTCGGGATTGGCTGCATCATTGTTAGAAGTCTGAGTGAGATACGTTATTAACGTAGAAATCTGTTCGGAGGTTTATGATTAAAAGTAACAAACATGTTAAAAAGTTATAAGTAAGCTTGAAGAATGAAATAATATCTTCTATCCTTATCTAACCTTGACAGACATAATCAACCAATTAGAGCTTTGAAAGAGGTACTTCCTTATCATCTATGGTATAGAATAGAGATATTAAGTTTAGATTCTTTGATTTCAGTGTTGTAGTTCAACTGCTTAACCTTCTAGCGAAGAAGCTAGTTTAAACCCAGCAAAAACTTTAATATTTATATACTTTTTACCCAGAAAAATGAAAAAACTTGTGTATCATGTTATCATTCTCTGGGTAGTAACACTATTATTTACATTTTAGTTGCGTTTTTGATAGTTAAGACCTTCAAAAACCCGTTGTAAGAGATATGAGCTAATTAACTGTTTTCTCGATGATACAGCCGCTCCTGCGCGTAGCATTTTTTTTATCAGCGCCGAAGCTAGCTTCGAATCCTCTATTGGGCTGCGATCACCGCGATCTGTGCGTCAGTCATTATTGAAAGATCCTGTTTAAGCAGCGGTGTAGGTCAGTTTCGTAGTGGGAAACGTATGTCAATCAAGTTTTTTGGCATTGACTGTGAGCTATATTTTGCAGCTTTCGCCCAATAGTGTACACTCTTTAACGAAGTTACGGTTGGTTTTTACCGCCAGGACGTTATCGTAAAGCGATCGAAAAAGACCAACCCTATATATAAATGCGCGACCAACCTTGGGTTAGCCTCGGTTTCCTGCGAGGTTTCGATCTAAGATAGTCTACAGATTTCTATCCTAAGCTGGAATAGCGTACAAATGTAGATTATCTTAACTCGGGTCATGGTACCCTCTACTCATCAGAAGCGTCTTTGGTGATCTTTCCTCGGGCTCAACGTCTTGTTTCTTTTCAGCAAATATAGCTACGTCCTATTTGATGCTTGATAACACTTCTGACTAAAAAACCAGTGAAGCGTGATCATGGTACCTTCTCTAGATTCAGAGTTGTACCACCCTCAGGAGGTTGCAAATCGTTTTACGCATGTTCGACGGAACTACTATTAAATCCGGTAAAAACTCGAGGTTGACTTTGTTCCTTTGTCAAGTGTTAGAGTCCTCTTGTCATCCAGCCTACTATACCGTTAGTGAAATGCCTTTTGCTTGGTGCCTTCGTGTTCACTGACGAGACTCGTCTAACTTAGTTGAGTGACCTTTGTAGCGTCTTTATTATTGAAGTAATAGGCTGAATAACATTAAGCTTCGCGCAGCAAACTGCATTGCCTTCCAAAGCTATTTATTCTTATACGTAGCGTAGGAAGAGTCTTTGGAGCCTTCATTGAAACATTGAAAAGATTGGTTAAGCGCTATGTTAGTCGGTGACTTTCAGTTTAACTAACAAAGACGAAAGTAATAGTCGTATCTGAGGCGTCGAATGAGTGATGACAATGGGACCTATGCCCCGATCCTGGGCAACCAGTGGAGTTCGGTTTCGAGCTATTTGTCAAAATGTAGTAATTGTAATACTATGGTTTAATACTGTAGTGTAATAATGTAATAGAGGACATAGAATATGAGCTCGGGCTACACTAGTATTGGTTCCTAGTCCAATGAATCGGCTTAGCTACCCGTGCAATCGAACCAAAAACTAAGTAGTGTTATATACCAGTATGTTAGATATAAATGTATGCGCCGATCCCTTTTCTATTACTGATAAACAATCGTTGGGGGTACAATATATTTTCGAAACGATTTTAAGGCTTTCATTATTTTATTGTGGGCGCACTTATCAACTCGAAAGAGTTTTAGTAAAAAAGGTTCTGAGAACCAAAATAAAATTGCTTGTCAAGATTAAACTTCATAAAAAAAAGTTTTTGTACGGAGAAGGATAACTATGAGGAAAAATGAGTCTGTAATACCCACATAGTTGATGAGTGAAGAAAAAACAGTTTTTTTCTAGTAATTCTACAAAGTCTTCAGGTTCTACTATCATTAGGGCATTGTACCAGCGGCCAGCTTTAAGATCCGGGGCGCTTGCAACTAAAATTATTTAGATCTCCTGGCAGACAATTAAGGTAATTGATGATTAAACGAAAGATTATTATGAAAGTATGGGCAGCGGTGCGCCTAACTGCCTTTTGTCATTGTTCTCGATGGGGTACTGGCTGTAATGTACTGTGGGTAAACCTCGGCACTACGGATCTCGCTGCAGATGGCGCGCTTTGTAAACTACTTTTTAGATTTTTAACTGTTTACGCAGCGCAGAGATACTGTGCTACCTTGAGTGCTTTTAGCAAAATGAGCCCTATATTTCGTCATTCTTCGGTAAGTGCGTTGGCCGCCAGTTTTCAGGGGTTCTCACCTGTTTGGCGCTGCGGTATTCCGCAGTATTAAGATTATCAGGAGCCAAGAGAGAAGGGGTGTCTGTCGAACAACGAACGCTTAGGGATTCTAGTATTTTACTTGTCCGTAGTTCTTAAGGTACTACATGCTCTTCTCGTACTTTCTCAGCAATTTCAAGTTAGCACCTAATTACTTTATTCTTGCGGAAAATTTTCCCTTTCGGGTTTTTACCAAAGTAAAAGTCTTTTCATCCCGGTGGTGGGAACAAGAAATTTATTTTTCGATTTTTAAAAAAAGGAACGTATAATGGTGGCTAGTAGTTTGCGCTTCCATTTTCATTAAAGGACCCCCCTTTTCTAATAACATAGCTGTAGTTTTCAAGGTGGATGCATTGACATTTGAAAATTCATTGAGTGCAACTAACTTTTATGTTCCTTGTGGGTGGATCTTCTTATATAAGGAAAGGTACGCTAACTATTCCCAATCTTCTATTAGTTTCGGTGCACTAGTTAGGTTACAAAAATTAAATTAATCTACTCTATATTTCGTCGTACTAGGTAATATAATTATAAAAATCCATATTATACCACTAATTCTCTTTTAGAAACTGATACATTAATAAGTGATTTTTCCGTCATATAGTTGGCGAATTCCCTTTGGTGAGGCACTCTCTAGAAGTTTGTTCCCTCCTGCCTGTAAGTTAGCGCGTGGTAAAAAATATTGACTACAAAATTGTCACGCAAAATGGGTTAAGAAAAGTTCACAAATGCGCTCCTACAGGCTTTTGTTAAAGTTGCTCGGTTCGTTTGTGACTCGACTCTCTGGAAGAGTGTCACTGAGTAGTCAACTTTGTTAATTAAGTAATCTATATAGCATGCTATAGAGCCTAGAAACATAACCTTTAACGAGGGCTGGCATATTCTTTCTTTGGGCTTCCTCTTTGACTTCCGTCCGGTAATCTTGTTATAATATTTGCTTGAAATATAATTTTATAATTTTATGATGGTTTAGTAAAAGGTTTGAGACAGTAATTAAATGCTATGATCTTCTGTCCTTTATTTGTAATTGGAATTTATACTTTATATGTATTGGTTTTATACTTCCCTCTTAGTATAATTTATTTCTATTCCTCTCTTATTTTCTAATATATATAAACTTTAAGAACACAATTTTTGAAATGACAATGAACTTCATAGCATTTAAATATTGTCGCTGATTATTATGTTGACTGAAATTTTTCTCAGAATTTCTTAAACTTCAATTCTATTTTTTTGTGGTTTTTGTTGCCTTCATTTCTGCTATTGCAGGTCGCTTTGTGGCTGTTTAAGGATTCCACTGCACAAGCTTTCTTTGAATCTTATTTTGAAAATTAAATCGAAATAACTAATGTTTTTCGGGTATGTATACGTCTTTTTAAAAACATATTGTGAGTCTTACTCCTAGAATGTTGCATTGCCTCTTTTTAAAAAAGTGCCTTTGCGACTTTTCAGAGGAATTTAGTGGACAATAAAGATTGTTGTTTTTGGGATCTAGTTAACTGTGAATTTTTAGCTTTTAGTATTGTTATAGGAGACATTGTCATAATCAATTTAGCGCTGTAGTAATATGGAATTAGTTAAATTATCTGTAGTTTTGCTTTTTGTTTAAAATTATATATGACTATTTGAACTTTCTTAAGATAGTGACGAGAATTGGTTGCTTGATAGGAAATATTATTACACTTTTTAGTTGGAATAGAAAATTAGGGTAGAGCTCTTACTTTCTGCAAACCGAGTAGCTTTATTTAGCGGCGAACATACAATTCTTTTGGGAAAAATTAACGCTTTTGTAAGTTTCCTTATGGACATGTAAAAGGTTTTTGTAATCTTCAAGCTTTTCTTCCCCTGTTTCGTTAAAGAAAACCGTTAAATCCTTTATCCTCTTATCATTTGCTGGATTAGTCACTATTGCCACCTAAAGATATTGTGGTTCTGAACTTTTACTTCAGCCTCATCCCTTAACATTTTTGCGTCTCGATCATTAAGCAATAATAAAGGTGAAGCGAGTAAAGATTTTTTCTGGTTGAACCACTGTATTATATTAGTGCCTAGTTTTATTGCTGTATCATCCCGTTAAGACTGGATATTGATGAGAAGTTAAAGATAAGGAATTGCGGTCCCCTTAGTGTTCGTTGAGTTTATGAAGCTACTCAATTTAAATCCTAAGGCGTGGTCGCCCTGTAGTGTTACTCGCCAGCAGTAATCTTCAATAGCTGAAGAAAACTTTAATATTTTTGCAGGATGGTGCTTTTACTAGAGAAAGAAGCCATGGAATATGGTATTATACATATGAAGTCACACGTTATCAAGTTCAACGCTATTTGATCAGAATATCAATATCGGCCAGACCAGTATATCTGGGCCGTGAATGACTCCTGCAATTGTAATATCTCGTAGCCTCTTTTATGGAAGAATAAGCTTTGTTGACCGTCTCATGCTAGCAAATTTTAATCGCAGAGCCACTAGCCCATGTAACTAAGGAAGCCGAGAAATTACTAAATTTTTATTATGAGAGAATATAGTAATAATTTCGTTTAATTAGTGCACTGATTATATTGCAATCGCCTATATAAGCACAGGCATGCTTTGAGAACTATGGCATAAGATGAAAGGCGTTTGTTTAATTTAACGTATAAATCGAAGAAGCGTTGGAAGAAGCGGAGGAAACCTCGCATATGCTTTTAAAATAATAAGTTTCTGTGGTAAAAGCTGTATGACATCGCACTCGTCTTTTATGCAGAGTTCTATCTTCCGGCAACTCATAAAGCAGACATCCCTAGTTTGTACCGAAAGGGTGGAAGGAGTTGACCCAAGACACTAGCTTCTACTTCTAACCTTATTTGTGAGCTGTTGTAATTAAATTTCTCGCTCCACTAGTTCTTGGACTTTGTGCATCCTAGTACGAGGACCAACTTTGCTTCACGACTCGTTACACAGATTATCGATCGAACATATGACATTTAAAAGAGTTGATTTGCAACTAATTTCACTCCTAGGAAAGCGAGCTTGCAAAAACTTTTTTTAAACCACTAATTAATATATAATAGAATATGCGAGTTTAAAAGTTTCTTACAAGATTTTTACATCTTTATAATAATTGAAACTTCCGTCATGAACTGTTATAAGTTAATAAAGATACTTGTACACATTATTAGACAGAAAGGTTGGAACAGGTTGGCGGAATGTGGACTTTTATTTGAATTAAACTATGACCTAAAGTTGATTTTATATCGGTACATAAACCTTTGAAGAAGTAGTTAATTTGTGAAAATGGTGAATGCACAATTTACTATACTCCTTTATGACTAGCCGCGAGGAACTTCAACGCTAAACAAACTGTCATGGTTTCGTAAATTCAATAGCGGGGATAACCATTTTTTTGTAATAAATATAAATTACATCATAAAAAACGTCGCTCGGGGCTTTTAAACCTACGCCTACCTACGTCAAACATTTAGGATGTATTAGAGCGCTTTTTTAATAATATACCTATTAGCTACATTATTATCTACCTTCCATCTTAGTTTAGACCATAATTCTATTGTATGAGAACTAATGACAACTCCAGTCGAGTTCCGAGAATTAATAAAAACAGAAGGGTAATTTTAATATATTGTCATACCTCTCTTGGACCTATATGCACTATATGTGATGAGGCGCCGATATCCAGCGCAGCAAAGTTGCTCTACTTGAACTTAAATGTTTTAAAAAAAGGACGCGGAGAATAGTATATTACCAAATAGAGGAATAAAGTTGGTCCAGTTGCACCTTTACTCATTGCTGTCAATACTATCATTGAAAAGGAAATAATACGACCTCCGCAAATATTTACTGTACAAACCTATATTTTTCTATGAAGGCGATGGTGGATAACTTACGTTAGTAAGAAGAGCTGAGGGCTTTATTACCAATATTAGTTGTTTGAATTTAAAATGTTTTTTATAATTTAGCGGTAGGTTTAAATAATACCTTAGTAGTTAGCAAGTGACTGATTAAAGTTTAACATAATTTAGCAACATTAAGACAAATTTATATAAACGTTTATTCTGGGATGTACTATTCTCAGAAAGGCTTTACAACAAGTGAAGGCTATTTTATTTATATACTTATAACACTAGCTTGCTAAGAGCGTGACTTGCAATCAGTTGCTGCTTTAACTAATTTCGCTCTATTATGGGTGCTGAGGCCACTAATCCCTCAACAACGGCATTGCGCCATTAACGGGAATGGATGCGCTTTATTATTACAGCTAATAGTATATATAATAACAGCAACAACATATACTGTACTGGCACAGTGAAAATTTAGTACCCCCCCTCCTAAACAGGTCTTGAAAATGTTCATTTTCTTGGGTCCTCAGTATACCGGCGAGAGTCATAATTGAGAGTTATCTAAGAAATTGTTATGGTGACTACAATGTAGTTGGTTGCCGGCACGAATACGACTATAACGGATGTCAGTTTGTCTTGTTTTCTCATAATGCTCTAAGTTTTTACAAACCCGAATTGCAGGTTGGTTATCCACAAAAATTAAAACAGTGTCATCTAAGCCTACGACCTCTTTAGTGATTTCATAGGCTGCTATGAACTCATTTTCCATTTTAGACAGAGCTAGGTCTTCTGTAAAAACGTACTCCCAAGTCACTGGCTCATCTTCAAGCAGAAAGAGGTTGCCCGTGGTGCTGCGTCTAGTTAGCTTACAGTTACCATATCACTAAAGCTGTAACCCTTTTAGAATGAAACCACAGCTTTTTATAATAAATACTATAATGCTTAGAATCTGTCAGATTTCCAGCCTTGCCTAAAAGATGCACGACTGCCTTAAGGGAGAGGGGGGTGCAGGAAGTCAAAATTTATATATCGAGTTTTATTAAAGTCCTAATTAAATACTCAACCATGTTCATTCCAATACTTTGCTTACCCAGAAAATTTGCATAGCGGACATGTAGAATGCATAATAAATGTTAAGGCCCTGCACTCAAAGGAGAAAAAAAAATTCTGATTCAAAAAACTCTTGCACAGAAGGAGAGATAGATGCTATAATCCATTCACCCCATACTTGAAAGAGAGTAAGCCCTAACGGTATCTCTAATAAGAAGCTTTAACATTTAAAACCGACAGGGTTCCACCTTATTTTCACTAATCTAATCTATTCAAATTTACAAAACTCTTATTTTTCGAGATAAAGGAAAAGCGCCTGACGTGATTCCTTCCAAAGCACGTAAACCTGGTACTTTTGTCCAAGACTTCCGCCCAATTAGCCTACTCTCGGTCTAGCCAAAGTACTGGAAGCAAAGACTAGGACCACAATTCTTTGCTGAATATACATATGTAGTACTAGTTAATTTGGCTTTAGATATAATCAGTTAACAACTCAACAGATTTTTAGGTTTTCGGAACACGTCTCAAAAGCTTTTAATGAAAGAAACTCAGCAGCAGTAGTAATAGATGTCGAGAAAGCAATTGGTAAAGTATGACAAACCAGCAGTGTTTTAAAACACAAAATGATATGTGGCTTTCTCAATAACTTAGCACTTATACTCATTCATTCTGCCTAAAAGAACTATTTCTACTAAAAATAATTTAGGGACACTTTCCCAAAGAATATTGAAAAGCGGTGTTCCTCAAGAATCTCTTCTTTCTTATCTACTTTTATGGTATCCCACATACGCTAATGTCTTTGTGACTCCATATGGGGCGATACCGCAATATACTGTAACTCAAAATCAGCTCCCATGGCAATAAATTAACTTCAGTGCTTTCTTGAAGTACTTGAAAAATGGTTTAACACATGATAAATTCAGTGTCCTTTAATTAACGAGAAGAAGAGTAAAAAGGCCTCCTACAAATCTTATCATTCTACAAACAAAGATCCTTTGAAGCGTTCACGTTAAATATTTCGGTGTATTAATGATTTCAAATTATTTTGGCCTGCCCACGCCACCTATTGTTATTGATAAGAGGAAGGCTTTAAGAAATGCTCTTTAACCCCTTAGTGCCAAAAAAAATAAACTTAGCATAGAGGATGCTTTACACATCTCTAATTAGACAGATACTTAGCGTCAATTGCGTAGGCCTATTGGACGTCTTTATTTATTGACTACAAACCCTACAGAACAACTTTCTCCGTAAGCTGACCGTGGCGTCATGGTTCGTCCACAACCACAACTTATACAGGGGCCGTAAAACTGAGTTTTTCAAAGACTTCTTTATGAAGCAGCAAACTGATGGTTCTCAGATTTTAGCGCGCATTCTAACCACTTTCGTTCAAAGCTGTAGCTTACGATACTAAGCACTACACAAAACACAAACGCCCTAAATGTATTCTCACGTAACATTACAAAAAAATAGGCGAATAGTTTATACAGCATCTGAAATGACCTTTATTATATAACTTAATTGCTGTTTTTTCCCCACAATAACATATGCGGGTGAAGTACGGATCAAGCAGTCTTGGCCCGTAAACAAGTAAATAAACTTGAAGTTATTTAATGAGTACACCACCACCTTGTGGAGAGCTCGTAACTTCAGTGCCCCCCTTTGGCCCTATTGAGCGCCAGAAAAAATATTAATTAAAAAAAAAACGCTGTAACTACCATTTGAATGTATAACAAATACGATGCGTTTATTAAATATAACAGTTAAGGAAATATCAATAACCTGAACAGTGATTAGCGATTAAAATAGCATTCAAATGAAGACTCAGTTTAGATTAAATAGCATATCGGTTAAAGCATTGAGTTGAAAACTCAAATAATGTAGTTATGTCTTTGAGACACTAACTATTGGACACCACCACTCAGTTATTCTAGTAGCTTAAAAGCAGAACTCATAATTTTCTGTAGTCGGTGTTTATCTTAATTTGTTAACTTAAATGTAGGAGGTAGCAAACTTTGTATTAAAAACTGTCCGCAAGGCGTCCTGGCTAAAGTTAAACTTAAACAAAGCTATGAAAAATAAACTTTTCAGAAGTTTTCAGAAAAAATCTGGAAAGAATTATGTTACTTGCAATAATTCATTTAAAGAAAATAATATACGAGCCTCGGAAGCTGAATATCGTCAAGCTTGTAAAATTTTCAAACACCTTACCAAGCGTGCTCATTCCACTGACTCGTTTAATAAAGAAACTTTGTAGTAATATTTGTGTAATAAGTATAGCAACTATTAAATCTTTCTTAACAGCCTACACTATTTTACTTTTAATGGAATGCTTGGACTGAGGCTCTTCGATGTTTTTGATAGTAAAAGGGATGGTAAAATTGATCTTCAAGAGTTTGTCTGCGGTTTGAGAGTGGCGTCTTCCGGAACATTGGAGGAAAAAGTAGAATTTCTTTAACCCCTCAAACAAATTTATTATGATATTATTAATAGTGTCAATTTTGCTATAAACTATTCAATCTTACGGAAGATGAAGGCGTTAGCCGCGAAGATTTGACAGTTATGCTAAGCACCATTCTTTATATTGCTTTTAGCATACAAAGAGGCCTTATTGTTCCCGACTTTGTAAGGTCCGAGTAGGAAGTGGTATTATAGTGGGCTTAATGATAATTTATACTTGAAAGGCATACTGAGAAGCTTTGTAAAAACAGTAAAGAGGCGGAACAAGTTGACCACAATTTTTCTTTAGACGTTAATTTTCATAATAATTTCATCTTAATATTTTGATTAAACTTAAATAAATATATTTTTTTAGGATTTAGCCAAAGCATTATTAAAAATTTCAGAAAACTGTAGTAACATAGGTGTTCAAAGATTACCTATTTATTATTTTCATTAAACTTTTGTTTTACAGCTTGTATTATTTATATTTTAATTGTTATTTGTAAAGTTTTTGGAGTTTAGGCATTATCCTTATAGCTAGCCTATATCGTACTTTTGACAAATATTATGGCGTTTTGCGACTTTAAACAATTTCACTTTAGTTTTCATATCTTTGTTAAACTCTTTAATTTATAATTATTAAAAATTCTTAAAGAGATCGAAATTCTTGCTGAGGAGTTAGTCAGCTCAGCATTTTGTTCCTCGGAAGAATCTAAAGAAAAATTATTATACCCTGAATTCTTAAACTGGCTTAATAAAAATCCGGTTGTCTTTGTTCTCTTTACTTAGTTCTTTTTAGCCTCTTTGCTTTATGCTTTACTAATTTTATGATTTTTTAATTTCCTTAGGCAGTTCTGGATTTTATTTTTTGTAACGAAAGTTTCACAAGACACACCGGGCTTTTCTCGGAGGCATCTATAAAAACTACTTGGTGTGGTAAACTTAAAGCCTTGTTTGCACTAAAGCACATTTTTTAATTAATTTTGCAGGTTACTTATTAAAAAAACGAAGAAACAATCCTCTCAAGTTTACTATAAATTACTCATTTATAATTTTTTAATTGCTTTCCTCTTTATGAAAAGGAAGTGGGTGTGGCGTTTCTTCGTCTTAAAAGGGCAGTTTCTTTACTATTACGCTTCTGAGCATCAAACGGCGCATCCGCGAGGCGCCATCTATTTAACGGGCTCGTTGGTTGACATACACGAGGTGCACCGCTTGTGTCTTCGGTGCATCGATCCGTGCAACAACTTCCTTATTAGAGAAAAAGAGTAAACCGTACGGGAGCCACTGACAGCGCTGAAACAGATCCTCAAAGAAATTCTTTGTAAATTTTATTTTTTGCTTAGCTCAAATTTTTTTTAAAGAGGAGGAAAGAGAAAAGACTGCTTTAGAATACGAAAGTTACAGAAAACATCGAAAGTAGTCACTATTTCCGTGCTTTTAAGTTACTAATAATATTTTTTAAAGAAATGCAGTCTCTAATCGTCGGTTTGGCGTCCTTTTGGAGTTCGGAAACTTTAGGGAAATCTTTTATGCGAGCAGCTACGTAGACGCCAAAGGATGGTTGACACTCGCTCTTCTTTAAATAAATTAGTAGTTAATCGAAACCTTACAAGGACAAGAGCCATCCAACTTCACTTAAATTTAGAAAATATTAAAGACAAGTACAATATATACTACTCAAAAGTCATCGGGAGTGGCGGCTTCGGGATGGTTTACCAAGTAATATATTTACTTACTATTGGAAATTTGTGTTACTGTATCACATTGCGAAGTGCGTTCATAGGAGAACTTTTGCCAAGTACGCCGTAAAGATTGTAGACAAAAATTTACTCAACGATCCTGAGCGGTGGCATCTTTCTTATACTCGTCAATGCAGTGGAAGTTATTATGACCAAAGGAAAGCCCTCGTGGACGAACTTGCGATTCACAAGCTTATCAACCACGTCAATATCATAACGTGCTATGAAACCTACGAGACACTGCATCAAGTGTATATTGTCACCGAGCTTTGCGAGGGTGGATCGGTCTTTTCGCTTTTTGACGAGGTTTTTCTTTCTTTGTCCGTCGTGTGGCTCCGTGGCTTCCCACCACCAGACTTTTTCAGGGAGCGCTCTCTGAGAAGCGTGCCCGCTACCTGCTCCGCCAGCTGCTTTTGGGTGAGCTTCCCTCGTACTAAAGGCCTCCTTGGAATTAACTTTATTTTCTCTGAGGAATTACCTACTTGCACCGTCTTTGCATCATTCACAGAGATCTAAAACCCACCAATATTTTACTTTCCAGCAAAGATCCCATGACTCAAGTAGTTAAGGTACTTCCTCCTTTAAACAATTACTATCAAAAACTACGCAAGCTGAATTACTACAGATTGCTGATTTTGGCTATGCAACTTTTGCAAGGCAAACAGAGAGGCTCGATCTCCCGGTCGGCACGCTCAGCTATTGGCCTCCCGAGATCTTCCTTGAAAAGGGCTACAATAAGCCCGCGGATGTTTGGTGGCTTCTGCTTACAAAACATGCAGATGACCTCGTGTCCTTCCTCGCCATACAGGGCAGCAGGGGTCATCCTGTACTGTCTGGTCTGCGGGAAGTTTCCGTTCCATTACAAAAACGACCGTGAACTTATCTCTCGCATATCAAAAGGAAGGTAACGAGCGCTTTTTTAGTACCGCATGCTTCAGTGGATCATTTGCAGCACGAAGAGTCAACCGATCTTGCAATGAGCATAAAAGGCTTTCGGAAGGATGTCGAAATGTGTTTATTGACCCCTGAGACCTGTTGTGGCAAGTGCTTATCAATTTGGCTTTAGGCTATAGAAATGCTTCTGCGAGTCAAGCCGGAGGCACGCCCCAGCGCTGAGGAGGCATTGGAACTAGAGGTTATACTTTCGCTTGAGATTCCGGCTATTCCCCTAAGCTGTTGACAAATTCTCAAGTGGTTCAAGGAATTTGCCGACGTGTAGCCAGTTTCGTAAGTAAAACTGTCTTCAATGCGAACAGACAATTTATTAAATAAAATGTACGTCGAAGTATTGGCGTTTGAGTCCCTTCAACTCCGATTATGAAGGTTACCCGACCCACGTGGGTTTTCTGCGGTAAATAAAAAAATTGCTAGTGGTGGTGGTTTGAAGGGATCTTCGTGCATACCATCTGTAAAGTCATCCCACTTTCTTTGTCTGTAGACCGCCTGGTCACTGGCGCCGTAGGCCTTCCGGTTGTCCATCTCCTCACTGTGGTTGCTATCGTCCGAGAGAGCGCTCTCGCTAGAAAATATATTAAAGCTTGTTACGCTGAAGGACACACCGTTCTTCCAGCTCTTACCTCGCCTCTGCGCTGCAGTGAAGCCCACGCTCGTGTTCAACCAACGCCCACTGCTCCGGAGTATACTTGAAGGGCCGGTGGGACGTGCCGAACACCTTGATCATGCTACGTGTTAGAACAAAGGGTTTGAAGCACTAGTAAAAATAGATATTATAAGTATTACGGCGCATAAGGCTCAGGAAAGAGTGTTACTGCTTTGGCTGGCGGCGTGGCTGCTTCCTCCCCGTTCTCAGCTTGAAACTTACTATACTTTTCAAGAATTTCAATTTCACGCTGCGTACTGTCTGAAAAAAGTAGTAGTTACTATTTAACAATTCCTAGCAAAGAAGATAACTACGGAAACCAACCGAGTTGGAAGCAAACTTTATTGATCCACACGTCCAGCAATGCTATCATATGCTCTCGCTCAAAGTTTTCTTTAACCGAGCCTTCCAAACTATGGTAACTTTTAGAAATTCTTTCCGTCAGGGCCTTGCATGTAATAGAAATTTCAACTCTATAGATGTTTCTTAAGAAAAAGATCCAAAACTTTGTATTTTTCTTTGGTTTTTTTTTCCAATTTATAGAGAGCTATTTTCAACTCTCTCATCTGGACGGGAGCCCTTTCTTGTTGTTCTTGTTCTTCTTGACTCTTTAGAAATTTGTCGAGAACTTTTGTGCACTGCTTGATATATTAGTAAAATAAGCGCCATAAAGATCAAAGCAGAAATAATAACTTCTTCAGGAAGAAGTCTTAACTCTTTACACCTTAATAAAAAGGCCAATGAACAATCTTTGACTGCCTTTAAGTTAGTTAGTCTGGCTTCTTTGTCTATAATTTCAAGAGTTAAATCGCTTATCATGACTGGAATTAGTAGGTATCTGTAGTAATTGAATAAAGTTTTACAATTTGGACTATTACAAGATATCAGTATAAAAAAACCTTAAATCTTCAGTATTAATGTCCTCTAAAAGTTCATTAGAAGAAAAAACTTTTGTTAACCTGAGTAAATCTCCGCACTTTAGCAGAGAGTTGATTGTGTTCCTTACTAACACCTAAGAAATATATTGAGGGTACCAACGGGGGATTACGCCATAGCACTAATACTTTTCTCGAGAAATGTTTTTTTAAAAATAAAGTTTTATCAATATTTACAAAAACGTACGTAACCCTAATAAGAAAACTCAAAGTTTTTATACTTAATGTAGAACAAGAATTGTAACATATAATTTTAAAGTGAAAAAAGAAAATAACTTGAGATAACATTATCATAAAAATAAAAAATAAGTTTATTTAATTTTTCTTTGAGAAACATATTGAAAGATGGTTAGTAAAACTTTATAACAGAAGAGAAAAGATGATAAGCTATTATTACTACTCCTCTAACTCTAATACAAATAAAATATAAATATTAAAAATTTAAAACCTGACGCTCTGGATCAGCACGCCCTTGGTCACTTTCAAGGTAATGATAATCTCTTTCAGCCAAATTAAATAAGTCATGTAACTCAAAACACGTAGTCCGCGACATTTCCATACACTGAAGATAAGTAATTGTAACTTGTAGCTGTATATAAAGAACCCTCGAGAAAGTTGACTTAAGTCAGCGATCGATTACGAGGTTAAACTTCGTAGTATTATAGTTTAGACTTTCCAGCTAAGCTTGTAAGTAAATTTGTTCATGGTTTTCCCTCCAAGATAGTGAGAAATTAACGTTTAACTTTCACTTAATACAATAAAAACCGATGGATCAACATCTACGCAGAAACATAGCTCAAAGTCGTGCTCATTTCGATTTATGGTGTAATAAACTTGGAAAAGTTTTAGATGGCTATACGTCGGAAAGTTCGCTACGCATAGAGGAGCTGAACAGTATTATTTTATTTAATATATATTATAGAATAATAAAACTATATTTCAACCTAATAAGAAAAATTAAGGGACGTTTCTAATAAAATTGCTGAACAGGAACTACAAAACAAAAAAAGTGCACAAAGTAATTTTTTAAAAGCTTAAGTTTAGCCTTGAGGATTCTTGTCTATCTTAAAAAACCTTACATCCCTTGCAGTTTGTGAAGAAAGAAGAATTAGAAAATTAAAATTTGAAGAGGAGATAAACGCGTTAATCGAGCGTAAAAACTTATACGTATCAAAGAAGAACAGCTTGCAAGAGAGTTGCGAAGATTTAAAAGGAAAAATTTTAATTAAAAAAAAAGGTTCCATATTATCTGTAAATTAACTTTTTTCCAAGTTTCAAAGGTAAGTAATAAATGGTCAACTTTTTTACTACAAAGTCTTGAACGAAGAATTTATAAAATCTGAAGAAGACGAGAGCGATCAGGTGGAATTATTCGAAAATTTTTTGGGCTTACGATTTGTACCTGAAATCAAAGGTTTCTATAATTAACCTTTAATTTATTTTTCGCACATTGCAGAATTGTAAACTATAGGATTTTAGCTTTATTTATTATATTTATAATTTGAATTATTATAATTACAAGTCCACTTTTTTATTTCTATAGTTGTTAACACTTCAATAATGACTTTTATTTAAAAGAAACGTAATTAAATTCTATTTTTTCAATATTTACGTAGGATCGCTATATTATTAAAAAATTGTCTTTTTATGCAGATAAAATATTTATTTGCGTAACTAACTTTACTGAAAGTCACATAACTTTTTCTAATTTAAGCCAGGCCACTATCAAATTATACAGTAAAAAATAACCCGGTTAGGTTAAAAAAATTATTAAGTATAAAATAGACAATGTTTGCTTTTATTGACATTTGCGAAGTTGATGATGCTTTCAAGAAGGCATACGTTGACTGTTTAAATTTCTTTCAGGCTTAACTATTACTTTAAGATTTGTCTAGTGGAACAAACTATGTGCTTCACTTTTTTTTGTAAAAAGCAGATCTTTAATTTAATTTCCCGGTACATGTGTCGTTGCGTATGATAAATGAATTTGAATCCGTTATTAATTTTTTGAAAGTTTTTTTTTTCTTACCAGGGTTTTTATTTCCCTTGATAAAATTATTTCGAAAGTTCGCTCTAAGGAATTGGGCATCAGCTAGTTTTATGCTAACCCACTAGTTGAGCTTAATAATATATCCGCCGCATATATATAAGTATATTGGTAAACAACACTATTTAATTCCTTCAGCCACCGCATAGCTAGCTAACCCCAATGCAACCAGGCGGTCAGTATACTATAAACTAGCACTATAACATAGGTACTAGTTTAAGGTTACAGACTATTATAGAGTAAAACATAAGCCTGTATTGGCACTGAAAAGGCTTCAAGTTACATTCAATTAGATCCCGACGCTAAAGCAGCGAACACTATTTCTTATATCATATAGCAAAAAAAAGATATATACATCAAAACTCAGTGATCGTTTTTTTTTTCTTTTTTATTAACGAAAACAAGAATTAATATAAATATATCTATGATTCTACGGTAACTAAGTTAATATAAATTAACTACTTTTAAATACGAACCACGTCCATCATTTTGTAATAAAAGATGTTAACGTAGAATTCGTGCTACGGTTTTCAATGTTATGTGTTATTAAATTATCTAGTTGCCTCTCAATATTTTAAATCTTATTAAACTTAATTTTATTTGAGTCCACTCCCCTTATTGCTGGTCTCATTTTACTGTTCATTTCACGCGCTGCTTTTTATAAATTGTACTGCTCAGACCGCGTATTCAATAAGTTAACTTCCAGATCGCAATTTACCGCTTTTGGTAAAAAAGGTCATTGTTACTATAAGTAAATTTTCTCTAGTAACTTTTTTTAACATTAATATTAACCTGTCAGGAATTATGGAACATATATTTTATGTTAGCTCTTTGTTGATATTTATTATGACTTCAAAAACTTTTTCTAAGTAATTCTGTATAAACTTTTACATATCCAAAGTAGCATTTCAAACAATTTTGTTTTGTAATAGTTTTTGGCAATTATTTATTATATTTTTATAGTTACACTGAAAGTAATTGGGCAGAAATTTTATTAATAGCCTTTATACTAAAGAATTTGTTGATCTGTTAAAAAAGTGAGAAATTAATAATACACAACTAGTAGTATTCATACGTTTCTATAATAAAAGTAAAAAACTTTAAACTTCCGCTAATTATTTTTATGGTAATGATTAAAAAACGCAAAACACAATGAGTTTAGCAAACTAGTAACAGTTCTACCAATTTATTAAAGTTTATTAATAGATTGGAATTTCTTAAGATTATAATCTGAAACTTGCTAGTACTGCAAAAAATAATTTCTTAAAGATAAAATAGTTGTTAATTGACTTAAGTTACAGAATCTCTTTTTTATTAGTAGTATATAATAGCAAATAACATTTATCTAAACTTTTGTTATTTAAGTAAAATTCTGAAGAGTTTGTACTCCACTGCCGTTCTGAAAGTTTCTTTTTTTCAGGTCATGGTGCTCAACCAGAATATAAATGAAAAACATTTATGGCAAATATTATTAAGCACAGATTTATAAAATTCTAATAAGTTATGACTACTTTTTTTAAATAATTTCTGAACGTTACCTGCTATTATATTTACTTTAAAAAATTGTATACTTTGCATATATAAACATTAGATTTACGATTTAATTAAAGAGTAATTAATATACTATTTATTATAAATTTGCTCCGTTAAAAAAAAATTAAGTACTAACCAAGAAATAATTGACTTTAAACGTTTTGATATTTACTTAATTTAACCTGGAAACCTTTTTTCTTCTGAATATACAACTTTTCATGTTTTAAAATAGTTGAGAGTTCTTAAAAAAGATGTTTGCTTCATATAAATTTCAAACTTAAGATTTTTCTGGAGTGAAATTTATTTTTACTAAAATTGACCCTCAAGATTCCAAGAAGGAATATATCCTCGTTTTGGAAGTTCTTGACGACCGTTATCAAGGTGCATGCTAACTCGATTTAGTAGAACTTTAACAATTTTAACTTGCTAAATTAGAAAAAAGTTAAAATTTAAAATAATAAAATAATTTTTATAATTAAATGTGTAGTAAAAAATTTTTAAATAATCTTGAATAAACAATCCATTTGTTCATATTTAAGGAAAAAATAGTAGTACAAGTAAAATTAAATATAAAAAAATGAATTTAAATATAATAAATTATCTACAAAAAGTAAAAATCTAAGGTATTATAGTTATTTAAAATAATCTAATTATCAATTGAATACTTAAATATTATGTAGCCTATATCTGCGATGGTCAATATTATATAATAAGAATTTCCCATAGTTGTGCAAGCTTAAAGTGATAAGTATATAGCAATAACTATAATTATCGTAAAATCTGCAAGTAAATGTGGTAAACGTGATAATCTACTTTAGTTACATTAAATTATTTTTCGAAGTATATTAATAAGGCCAGTAAATTTTGGTGTATCAGTGAACGGCTTACAGAATATATTCAGCCTTGTATTGTTGTTAGCGCGTTCAGTAATTAATACTATTTATTGTCGAAAAACGTTTAATAATACGATAACTAATATTACTTATAATTCTTTACAATTAGTGAGAGAATGCGTTCCCAACTTCCCTGCAATCTCCAATTGGGTAAAGGAACTTAACGAAACCCGTTAGTAACAAAAAATTAATTTATATACTCTGAGTTTTTTAAAAATTTATTTTCGCTTCAGTTGATTTCGAAAAATTTATAAAGCAAGTCCGACACGAATTTACTACAATAACCAACGCTTAATAAATATTTTTCTAAAATTAAAGCAATAAATATTATTAGTAGATCGGTACTACCTAAGTTACGCAAGATAACAGAATCTCACTAAATAAATTACGGGACACACTTGGAATAATTAAGATTTTTCTATTCTAAAGTTTCCCCGATGTCGAAAAGTGTAGAAAGAGGGTTGATTTTCTAAAAACGGTCTATTAAGAATAAAATCTTCAAAAACTTATTTAGAAGTTCATCTATAAGAAACCGACGTGTCTAAAGGGGAGCACTTAATATTATGAAATTTATCGGAGGAATAAACAATTGCTATTCCACAAAAAAGAAGGCCAAGAAGTGTTTGAATAATAATCTAAAGTAGAAGAAAAAAAATAAAAACGAAAGTTGTATAGAGGTAAATTAAAAAGGAAACAGTTCATCTTAATCAACGCCGATCTAGTATGTATAATAAGTAATAAGAATTAAACTAAAGAATTTAATAAACGACGCTAATAATTTAACATTTATGAAAGGTGTTAAAAATTTACCACAATTTCGTATTATAAAATGTTATAAGAAAAGCTTACGTCACTAGGTAAAACTTGAAATTCCTCATCAGTGAGTTGTAAATAAGTTCTGTCTATAAAAATAAATTTTTAACGGGGAAGGAGATAAAATTTAAAGACTATATGATTTTAAAATATACATAACATAGTAAACCACTAAGTTCTCCTAAACAATTAATTAACTCTCTTAAGTTTTCGAAAACACCAACATTATAGCTTGGATATTTATAACCAACGTTGTATAGCCGAATAAGCTGCATTAAGTAAGGAGATGGCTCCTAGAAAAAAGAAAACTTTTCCTAACATTACAACGAACGGTTCGCATTCCCTGTAAACGAAATGAAGTCTGCCCTTTCGCAGAAATAAGCAAGTAGGCCCGTCTCGACGTTTTTTTTCAATAGTTTTGCCTCCTGCCGGCCGCCGACCCATTGTGATTAGAGAAGACCGTAAGACATCGGAGTTACAGCGAAAGCTAGAATTTTACAGGACGCTTTATGCCGATTATTGTAGCCTACAAATAATAATTATTTAGAGCTGCTCATGGGTACGTTACTTAACCTTACTAAATATCTCCTATTAATAAACAAGGTTTTAAAAAAAATTAGAAATCTTTATAAATTTGAATACAATATTTTTCTCTGTTATGTATAAACTTATTTGTACAAGTATGCTCAGCAATATTTTTATAATTTAAAACTTACTAACTTTTAAAGTTATACCAGCCTAATGGAGGATTCATACTCCCGACAACCCACTCTTAATTAATATGATTAATTTTGTAATCTTTGTAAAAGATTTGAAAAGGACAACTTTTGTACACAAGTTTAAGAAGTCTTTTTGACGAATAGTTCAGCTCTAATTTTAACAAATATGTACAGATGTATGTGTTTTATAAAAGAAGGAAGGGAGTAAAGAAATCAAAGAATAAGTCCCTCTTCCTAACACTGGGATTACTAGGCATTTACTTTTTAATTTTTCCCTTTACGCTCTTTCACCAGAAGTCTTGATTAGAGCTTAGAAGACCTTATCTTTTTATGATTAGCATCGTCGTGTACTTACTAACAATAATTGCACAACTTAGAAGGCGAGGATAATATAGCTATGTCCTCGAACTTGTTTTTTAATACCTTTAATCTTATCCTGTCGCAGATTTAGTTTCTCTCTCTTCAAGTTAATGTTAATGCTTGCGTAGTCCACTAAATAGAAAGCATTGTTCTTTCAAAGCGCATAGAGTAGAGATAATTATGATGTTGTGAGCGTTTGTCAATGGTCTCGAGCATCCTCCGTCTCCATTAGTAACAGTCTTCTTTGTTGCATGTAATATTAATTTTCATAGCATGGAATTTAATTATTTATGGTATACCGCATCGCAATATTGTTATTAAAGTCCGTTTAGTGTCCATTGATTCTTTATAACTATGAAGGTCTGTTTTGTGATGACCTAATACGATGGGCTATATTTCGTGTTGTTCACCATTTCTTCAACCTAACTGCCTTACTGAAACAATTTTTAGCTTTCTCGTAAACAAAATTTTCATTCTGAATCTTTCTAGGTATTTCCGAGCTAAACAAAGTTTTCTGACAGTGTTATATTTGTAATTTATGGGGGAGTCGCCAGGAATATTCTTAATTAAAAACATGGTCGCTCCTTTCCAACCATGAGCCTTAACGACTAATTATCGTGGAAAGATATTCAAATTTCGTGTTAATAAATAATAAAGAAATAGTAAGACATATAAAAATCGTTAAACAAGGAATGAAGTTTTACTCCTGAACTAAGCATTATATGTAACAAAAGTCGGTAATTACGCTTACAAAGTAATTTTAATTAAAAAAATTACAAATATGACAAATCGTTTGACGAAATATTTTGGGACAAAACTGTTACTGTGCAGTTTAATAAAGACCCTAACCTAACCTAACCTCTCCGTCGCCTTAACAACTGCTGCTCTTCTAGCAGGCATAATTGCTGCTGAAGATTTTTAAAACGCAGGTGTAATCTTAGTTCATAATCTGTCAGTTTTGACTTTAAATCTAGAGTTGTTCTCTAAGAGGTTATTTCGTAATTGCTCCTTCATTTAAGGCCAGATTATTTCCATAATATTAAGGTCTGAACTACTAGAAGGTCATGAAAAAACTGTAACCCCCTTCCCAGAGAGCCAATTTTGTGTTGACTTGGCTATATAAAAGAGACTTCCGTCTTCTTGGAAAACACAATTTTCCGCTACATACAACTTGTTGACACTGGGAAAAAAAGAAAACTTTTTGTTATTTCTCTGCGTTTTCAATACTACTGATAAACTCAGTTACCAAACCTTTTGCTAATAGCCAGCCCCAAATAATCATCCCTTTTGGGAATTTAACGATGCGTTCGATTGTCCTGCATGGAAAGCTTCATTTTTTTGTCAACAACCCGTTTTTCGAAATTCCTCCACACAAACATTGAATTTTGATTAGTCACTTAATATAATTTTTTTTTACCAAGTTGTCTACAGTCCATGATAGTTTAAACTTCGCCCATTCACATCTATTTTTCTTTTGTTTCGGTGTTATGTGGTTTTTTTTAGCCTTAGTGTAATAAAATAGTCTTAAATTGAAACTGAACACAATGTTTTTCCCATACCTAATAATATTTTAGTTCAGATTTGAGTATTCATTGACTTTCACGAGATAATTTTAATCCCGTTCCTCTGTGTCGTAATGTCTTCTAACGTATCTCGTCATCCTTATTTACACATTTTATCAAGAGATTATTGAATTCTTGGTGAAACCAGCTTAGGGAGGCCTACGCTTTTACCTTTAACAACTACATCTCCTTTTTTTCTTGAAATATTTTAGAAAGTTAAAACAGTTGATTTTGCAAACTCCTTAGTAGTCTAGCAACCTGCGTAAGTATTGCCGGGGCAAATACTGTTTGATAACTATTTTAGCACATCCTTTCTCGTTGATGACCTCGGACCATTTACATGACCAAAATTTGAGAGATAGTTACCAAAAACAAAATTATAGACTGTTCAGGTGACAGAAGTTTGTCTTTAACCGATCTTTATAAAAGCTTGTGCCAAAATTAGTTGTCAACCTTTTTTATACCAAAAAGAAACAAGTTCATCTCAACTTATAACAAATTGCGGATATTATCTCTATTCCGATTTATAACAGTAATAAAGATATATTGTTAGATCTCTTTTAAATCTGTGTGAATAATTAATTTAAAGTTGTTTTTTAATTAGCCATTAATTAAAATGAAATTCACGCCCCAAAATATAGTACTTAGGGCTCGTAGCCCCGGTCGATTGACGTCTTACCTATTTTTAAAAAATTGTATATAATGTCTACACAATATTTGCGTATCTTGAGTTCGTGCGGTTTAGTGTTAATAGTAAGCCAAAGATTAAGCAACTTACCCTATTATTAATTAACTTTTGCTATAATACCTATTTTTAAAGTCGAGAGAACCATTTTCATTTTAAAAAATATATTACAACTTAAATACAATGCTCGGAGTTAATAAAAAGATTACCATAGCTTATGCTTTTGTAAAGGGGGGGTATATTTGTATAAGATTCTACATTTTAATAATTTAAACTATATACATAAGTGTAGACCATACATGAGTTATATTTATATGCGCTAATTTTATTTATTATATAAAACCCGTTTAACTTATTAATGCTTCACACCTAATGCCTCTTTACTTGTAACGCGTTACCTTTCTTGTTTACCGTGATTTAATCCAAACAGAAATTAACTTTAATGCGCTCGGGCATCGCATATATAAAATCATCCAACCACTTATTTTCACATTACTATCCGTCTGAAGATAAACTACGCTTATACTAATCGTGCTTAACATAAGCTTCAATTGAAAAGTTCTAACTTTTTACCATCAAACCTCCCTTTTTCCTTTAACAGGTTATTTAGCGGTCGGGTAGTAACACCTCATCTTGACTGTATCGCCATACCATTGTAAAATGTTGTATAACTTCTTACCCTTAAGAGTTGACATATGCTTAAAAACTTTTAACGCATTTTCGCCCTATTTGCTCCATAACTCGATGGCCCTCTTTAAGTCATCGCATCTACTTATACTTATATTTAACGGTTTGTTTTACATATCCTCTCACAAATTACTCAGTTTGAAAATTTAGGAGAAAGTTGGCAAGTAATCTTTCTATTTTGCCCAAAGGTAGTACTGTTAATGGGGCTTATAACTTCTGGCACACATATGTTCTTTAAGTCGTACATTTTTCCTATAAAATTTTTTTTAGAGTCGTCTTATATACTATTATAACTATTATCTCGGAATTCAAATTACCAAATTGTTCATCGTAGATGGATTCAATCACTATAATTCCCCGTCCCCTCTGGGTGCATTTGCGGACTTATCTAGGGTTTTCTTCAGAGGTTTGTACCCAGTTCCTGTTTTGTGCTTTGAAAAAGAGGATTCCTTGCAACATCTCGCATACCATTAGGCTTATTTATTTATTAGTACAAGATTTAGGGACGCTATTCTTTATTTAACCTTCAAGAGGGTTAAATACACTTTAATATTGAACACAAAAAGATAAAATATTTTAGTCAAAATGTCCTTTTTTCAATTCTACACCCCATTGAAGCAGCTTTTATTTTTTTGTTTTCAGTGAATAAAGTAATCCTCTAACTCTTTCACGTAATTAAAGTCGAGCCATATCCACCAATAACTAGTATACCTAATTACCTGTGCAGTCCCCCTTCATAGTTTTATGACCTTGAGGCTCCTCATTCCTTCCAAAAGTTCTTAAAGTCGTTATTTTTACAATATTAACCAATTGCAGCAATGTTGGAGAAAATGAAAAAACTGATTAGGTTTATATTTATTTTTCATACGTTATAGCATTGTCATGCTACAATATTTATGAGTAAAATAACTTAAACTGCTATCTACATTCCCCTGAGTGAAAGGATTCAAAAAGATATTCTATTTTCAAAGGGTCTGTTTCCAAGTCTATGTCTAAAGAAGAAAAGTAAAAATACCAACGGTTGACTCTATAATGACGCTTTTTTATAAAGTAGGTCATGAACTTTACCATTTCTTGACTTTAGATTAAAGTAAAAAGGATTAGACATGTGACTACGTTACTGCTTTGATTATAACAATTGATAGTAATATGTTTAATTGCTTTTAGTTACTACCGAAAGGGAGTCTTTGTCAAAGTTTATAAAGTATCTTCTTCAAAAACTAAGCTCCCAGGGGTAGTACCCAAAATTAATTATTAGTTCAATTATAGGTTTTGATTCAGTATAAATTTTTGCTTGTATTAAAGTTTTATTTTTTAAAATTTCTCTTTTTTTGACCTTGGGACTTAAACGAGATTGCCTAGTATATAATGCAAAACTTTTCTTCATCCAATTAGATACAAATTTTCCAATTAAATTAAATTGTCAGACAAACGTATTGCATAACTAGTGTTTTATGTTTAATAGTTAATCTACAATTTATTTTTTCAATATAAACTGTTCAATTCATTAATAGAAATGCTTTCACACTTGCCCATTTTCTGCTTTTTTGTACTTAGGTTTCCGTATATTTGTTAGACTTAAGCAACCCTAAAGAAGGCTTAACAAGTTAAAATTTAGGGCGAGGTGAGTACGCAACTTTAATTTCTAAAAAGAGACGCGCTGAATTTCTTTTTCCTTACCCTAATTATGTCATAGAGTGATATTCCAGATTGGTACTGCCTCTCTTACTAAGTATTAAGGCTGAGTAAAACGCTCTTTACCTTGATTAATTTCTTTCTCTTCTGTATTTACAAGAATTTTTTAAGCTGAATTAAATGAACGCCTGTGAACAGTCAGAGAGTAAATCTTCAAGTTCTGAAGAAAAAATACCTTTTTCTTCCTCCAGACTTTCCCCTGTCTCATCATGTAGTACTATTTCTGAGGAGGAAATAGGTTTTTGTGAACAAGCGAGATTAAGCTGCCGTTGCTAATAGGCAATAACTATGGTTTAGGTGAGAGAAGAAGAAACCGCAGAGAACTATTAAGACAGTATTACTCGAAGCTAAGCGAAGGGCTCGAAACTGCAGAGGACGAGGAAGGCGCAATGTTGGACATTGGTTATTGATTTTTATTACCTACTTTATAATTTAATTTTTTTTTGGTTTTAGATAGTCCCCGTTTTGATGTGAATGCCTTTGTTTCACTTGTCTTAAAGCAAAAAACTTTGCGTGAGCTAATAAAACTAGACAAACGATTAGTTTCTGGTATTTTAGCTATAACTACGACCTTCTTTTCTTTGTTTTTTTAATTCTTTTGTAAATTTACTTCTAGAGATTCGTTTGTTAGATGAGGAAATTCAAACTCTTATATATCAAAACTACAGCAAGTTTTTAAGCGCAACAGACACTGTCAGACAGGTTTATTTTATATTTTAATAATATTTTGTTATAGCACCTGTAATTTATACACTACGTATTTGGAAAACATAAATCAGCTTGTTTTTATTTCTTTAACGAATATTTAACTTAAATTATGTTGAATTGTGGGAAAACTAACAACTATAAAATAAATTGAGGTCAAGGGGGCATCATTTGTAATAAATCTGATAATTAACATTAAAAATAAGATTAAAGTAGGTTGTGAAAGTTATGATAGTAAAATATTATTTGGAACCATTGAAAAGTTTAAAAATTCTTCTACGCAGACCAAAAAACTTAAAAATTAAAGAAAAGAGCGAACTTATCCTTAATTCACCTTTTCAAGCTCGTCTGTCTTTTTTTAAGAAAAGAAACAGCGCTTGTTGCTCGGGTGGGATCTGTTTTAATCTTTTAGGTCATAAATTTTAAAATAAAACAATTTCAGAGTCTATACAAGATTGTCAGAACTTCCAAGTAAAAATGAGCGCTGACGAGAAGAAATTTAAGATCATTTAATATACATTTTAATATATAACTTAATAGGATTTCCACTTTAGAAAGTCTCGATAATTTGGTTTAGTTGAACAATTGCGTAACTTTCAATTTTTGAATAGTAGTAATTTTATAAATTATACTGTTACCTTTGTCCTTCAGAATATTTTTATTTGAAAGTTTTTACTCGTACTTGTAGTTGTGTTATCAAACTTAAGAAACTTCCTACTAATTAAAGAAGACAGGAATAAATAATATCATAAACTTCAAGTCATGATTATCACCCCGTCTTAAGAAAGGCAAATGAGCATTTATGAAGGTATCGCGTTGGGTGCTGATGGCGATCTTGTTAAAAAGAACATTGAAAAAGTTATTAATAATTCAAGTGGTTGCGTATTAGGAAAGTAAAGCGGTACTCACAACGGCACTTGTATTTTCTAAAGCCGTTACTAACGTGTCCAAGTTTTAAGCGACCTTTTTAAATTTAATCTATTGGAGAAAAGAAAATACTTCTTAATACAATTTACTTATATTATCTAATTTTTTTAATCTATATTTATTGCTGTTAAATTTCTTAGAGGTTTTTTTTATTACGTCCTTAGCCTTTACTCTTTAGTTTTTTTTTTTATAAATTATTTTATTTGATTATAAAAATTGTTCTTATTATTTTTTAATATCCATGACATGCCAAAAAATTTTCAAATAAAAATATTTTTAATTTTATAAAATAAAATATATCTTTCCTGAGTAAACTACCGTTGAGTGTATGATTCTCTTCTGTACTTGTTGAAAATACTATCAACTTTTATCAACTTACCAATACTTTGTAAGATGAAAGGTAAAATAGAGCATATAGAAGCGGAAATGAGTCGTTTGAATGAGAAAATGATAGCCATTAAGGATTTAAATTCCAAAATCGACTCCTCCCTGGCCGAAAACCGTCTCAAAGTGTTTAGGCTTTCCAGTGTTCATGTGTTACTGAAAAAGGTATTGGTAACTATACAACTTTACTGGTAGTTGGGTTTAAAACTTATTTATTATTGACTTGATACAACGATCCAAACTACTACTGAAGCTGAGGTTTCTTTTTGAGCTCCCAGGAAGACTAAAGAAGAGCATTGAGGCTTCTGCCTACCGCCAGGCAGTGGAGTATTCCCTTCGTTATCATATTGATAACTTCTAGTTGATGTAATTATTTATAGTTATTACTGTAAAACCCACGGAATACTTTTGCGTTATGAGCACATCTCGTCTTTCTCGGGCATCAGAGACGAATGCCAAGCATTGCTTGTTCAACTAAAAGACGCTCTTCATAGCCGTCTCTCCTACGAAAAGGTAATTTATCTTTACTTTTCTTTATGCTTTGCATTTACTTTTCTCTCAGAACGTGTCTCTTTCTCAATTGACCGAGGCCGCCGAACTGCTGCTCTTGTTGGACGCTCCTCCGGCAGAAATTGCTGAATCATATTTACTTTCGTAATTAGCTTTGGCCTTTATGGCGAGTCACGTGTGATAACGGGTGTAAAGAGCTCACGAGGCTATAAGTTGCGCAATGGGGGTTTTGGAAAGCAATGTCGATCACGACCCTCATTCCTCACACCCTTCTCTAGAGCATAGCCTGCCCATTATTATACAACACATGAAAACTTTACTAAGAGGTGCAAGGCCTTTGCTCAGACTACCACAGCTTACTCTCATTGCTAACCCGTTGGCAGGCCACCAAACCCTCTTTGGAGAGGAAAAAGGCGAGCAGCTCAGGAGCACGCTGGGTCGGCTATTCGGAAGGCTTCTTTCCACGCTTAAAAAAACCATACTTTGTTCGGTTTTTGTTTATGACGTCAAACTTCGCATAACTTATTTCCTTGACGCTCTACTTATGTACTAGCTGGAACAAAATCCTCCTGTGGAAGGCGACCTTCTGATAAAAGGTGAGCTGCCTGCCTGCTGCAGTGGTTGGCTACATCCACAAATAACAGCTGGCGCAGATATAAATTCTCTGTACGTGTGTCTCACCGAGCCGGATGTCTTTTTTTACCAAGAATCGTGGGTGAAAGAGCGCTTTACCTCTTTCGTAGAGAAGATGTTGGAAAGCATAATAGAGTTTACTTTGGAGGGAATATTAAGAATTTTTGAGGGTCCCTTTCATTTTTCCTGCAAGACTCTAATTTAATTATTTATTTCTTTGCAAGCAGAGCGTATTATGGAAATAAAGAAGATACTTTTGGACAGCAAGCCGTCCTCGAAACCTTTATCTCAACTTGTAGGTCATGAGACTTTGTTTGCTCTGCCTCGGGTCACTGATGCGACTATTTAGTCGGATGATTTGTCGGTGGATATGAAAGCTTTGGTCCTTTCCACAATCACTTTACTACTGGCTCGTATTTACTGTTGTACGGTGGATGTATCCAAGTCATCTTCCCTCTGCAGGAGCTCTCTCAGAAGGACAACCGACTTTTCACCATCAGAAAACTTTGCAGACGCTACTATAAGAAGCATGTACTGGACCACTTCCTCGCCAGCTATTTCGTGAAGACGACAGAAAGATGCAAAGTAATGAACCCCTCACATGAACTCCTGTTGCACGTGCACTTTGCATTCTCTTAATAAAGGTGCTTGCTGGAACCAACAGCTTAACAGTGAGCTGGCCGCTGGAAGGCTCTTCCCTTCTCATACTAGTACTGGCTGGTAGGAACTGTCAAGCGGTTAAAATCTTCTTTGCATCACTGGCCCAATAGGGTATTTGTTCGGCTTAGAAAAGTACGGTCTCCCCTTCCTCTATCAAGAAACCTTAAAGAGAATCAGCATGTTCAAGGTCGCAAATCTCGTCATAATTATTGTATAACCCAATAGCTACTCGCTACTCAGGTGGATGCGACTGGAAAACAACAGGAGTGCCTTGCAATCGTTAAAAATGGAGCTCAAGTAACCACTCAACATATAATAATGCACAAACCCGCTTTCGAAAGCACTTGAGAACCTCCGGCTGTCTTCCTAATCCATTCCGTTTACTTCTTTCTATAGGAGTTAGTCAACTGTTACAGTAGAATTTACGGTAACAATGTTTCGGCGTTGTCCCTGGAAAGCCTTGCAGCCGCCGATTGGTTAACGGATAGGTTTGTCGCTTTGAAGGTTTCTATAGTAAACTGCTTCAACTATGTACTCATGTAGGCCGCCCACTGCTGTGCGTGCAGCTACTAAAGGACTTATTACAAAACTGAGCAACGTTGCAACAGAGCTGGATGCTTTTTTTGGGGCCGACATAAAAAGTTCTTTAAGTATAAAGTCCGGTGATAAGTGGGGTTGATTGTAACGTCCTTCCGCTAGATGTTAACGAGCACCGGACGACGCCTTCTATGAGCTTGACCACCAACCACTATATGCGTGCGATTCAGTGATGTAGTTTATCTTAACATTGACTAAATTACTGATTAGAAAATGGATTTGGTATTAACAATAACTTTCATAAATTGTTTACTGACCGGATTGATATATACAAAAACGTTGAATTCTCAAAATCTTCTATTATGAAATCAATTATTTTGGTTTATTTAAAGGTTATTTTAATGAGCATTAACTTTATAAGTAAATTAAGGAAGCTAAAAGCTAAATAATAACTTCTTCGTGTGCCTATGTTAAAAACTACAAAATTTGCCCTTCAGGCCTTTATGGAAGAAATTCGTTTGTGTGTATTAAGTACGGCTGGAATGCAACAAGTTCAGGTGAGTGTGTTCATATATATAGCTCTTGTTATTAACATTGAGAAAAACAGCTTGATGTTGAGTGTTTACGACGGCATCTCTCCAAGTTCTTTACTGACGGAAGGTACATATAAACCCGTTACACTAAAAAGTGGGGTGCTCGTCGCTGATATATGTCACTCGAGACTTCTTAATTTCTTTTTGGATGAAATCCTTGATTCCTGCGCAAAACGCTGCTTGCGCCCTGTCCCGTTGGAAAAGCAGGTTCCTACTCAGCTTATAGTTATTATATATTCACTGAATTGTACTCCGGCAAAAAGGTGGTGAAAACTCTGCTTATGGTCTAATAAAGACAAGTTATACGCCACTCAAACTTATTTGGGAAGAAAAGCTTAAATACCTATGCGCTTATAATTTTTTAATTTAAAATTAATCCACTATTGCGAATTAAATTAAGTGTAATAACGGACTCTCAAGCTTACTCTTGATTTTTTTCAAAGTCATAAATATTTTTCTTATATTTAACAATGAAGTCTCAAATAAAATCTTTCATTTCATGTGTTTGTGATCAAGCACGGCTCGGAGAAGTGAATTACTGTAACAGGGCAATACCTCAAAAAATTGCTTGAGATGCGGTTATACACTCTGTAACACTATACACCATTTATAAAAGCTTTAGGATCCCTTTTGCCAACAACAGCCCCAGTTTTTTAGAGTATGTATAGCGCCCTGTGCTTCTTTTAATTTTTCATTCTTCGAATTAACACCCCACCTCTCCTTGACGCTGTGAGTATATGGTTATTGTTATAGAAATTGGTTAATATGTTCTAGCGACACGCAGCAAACCATATAATATACTTATTAAAATATAAATCAAGTAAACATATTCTGCAACAATTATGAGGCCGAGTTTAGAGCTAACTATAAATTGTTGAGGACCCGTATAGATTTAAAGTCGAGAGGAGAACAGGGCCTACAGAGCCTAGTCTAAGTTTAGCCATTCCGCCGTTGTCTCTATACATTGAATAATTATATACTCTATTGATCTAATAAAATGTTTTGCAGTGTGTTTTTATATACACCTTAGCAAATATAAATCTAAATATGAAACTAGAGGTGAAGACTTTCAGTCGGTTAAACACGACTACACTACCACCCCGTGCATACGCTTATAAAAGGAAAAAAGGAGAGGAGCTCTATCCCAACAAACTTTACTTAGTTTCTTTACGAGTGCTATTTTTTATAAGCCCGCAATTCTCTTTAAACAACAAAGTACATATTCATACAAGTCTTTTAATATCCTTAGCCAAAAAATTTATATATTTAAGTTCAACTCCAAAAAAAATCGCATGGGCGCGTCAATAAAGTTTATAATCAAAAGCAAACGTAGCTGTACTCCTTAATATCAAAAAACTTTTCTTGTACTAATAAAGTATGAAAATGAGCGTAAAAGTACATAGGTGACATTGTGAATGAACGCGGTCCCTTTTGCAGTTCTCTCGAAACTACCTCGAAGCAGAAACTCAGATTTATATATAGGCTTGTCCTGTCACAAGTACTTGTATGACATGATCTAATTAGCGGTTCCATTCGCCAAGGCGAGCCTCTATCTGCTATTTTATACAGCTCGCACCCGCCCTATTTCTCGTATATTTTAAAAAGATTACTATTTTAATTACAGAACCTTAAATTGTAAGTAACAGACACCTACACAGGAATGGTCACTAAACCTATCAAATTATATTCTATATAAAAAGCCAAAACACAGCACATATACCAAACATGAAACTTGCGTATGTAATTGAGGAATGGGAGGGAGTGATATGGTAAGTAATTTACGAGTTAAGCTTTGCACACTAGTGATAGCTCGTGACAACTACCGCTGTAACATGTATTGAATACATAAACATTAAGTAAATATGGTAGCTTATATATATGATCGATTATATATTGAAGTTGCTTAATAAGTATACTTCCAGGTGCTCCTGACACTTTTTTAGAATACTATTGATTTAACTTATTTAGTATTTTGCTTTTTTTTTCCAATTTAAACCGACTGTTAAGCTCGGGAGACTAAACAAACAGCTGTAAAACAAAGGAATGCAAAATCGGAGAATAATCTCTTGTTGTTAACGTATGAATGGTACTCTACTGTTATAAACAATACCATTACTGGCTCGCCGCCGGATTACTGTAACACTTTTCCGCTATATGGTTATTCTTTAAACGTGGTTAGTGGCTAAAAGTGATGTAAACAAAATACCGTACGTAGGGATCTGCGTATAACCTTATTTAAAATATAGATAATATTACACAGTAGTTAAACTACTCCGCTAAAAGCCCGCACCAAAGAGTGGAGGAAAAAAAATACTCTGATCTCTTGTTGTAAACTAGTGTACATTGGTACTAGTACTATATACAGACTATAGCCCTAGTACTATATATATATCCGCGCCGCTCCTCTTTCTTTATAGTTTGAGGATCTCTGTATCATGCTTTACTAAAAAAAGACCATATCCTTTATAGATATTGTTCACCATGGAAACTAATTAACAAAGTCTTATCTGCTTAAAATTTTTTTTAGAGCTATTAAGCTTGGTAAATGCAGATATCCCCTAGACATTAAACTCCCTTTTGTAAGCTAAACTCTACATAGTAACAACACTAAGTTAACCCTATACATTTAAACAATAAATCAAACACGTCCCCACAGACTAAACGAAAGCCGCAGAACAACAGAACAGAAATCTTGAAATGAATATATATAGTTTCAAATTTTCTAGATGGCCAGATCTACCAGTTAAATTTAATCAAAACTTAAAGCGTTCATGCCTCGGTGGCGTAGGCCATCTTATTTAACTGCGCACTGTCTGTTAGATAATAACTCCCATAGAATAACAATAGCTATAATCCTTATGGTGATAGTTATTTTTGTGTTCTGAGTCAGACGCAATACTAATATCTGTTTTTCTCGTGAAGCTCAATAAAATCCATCTCGTTTTGCTTCCCTCTTGCTAACGTGCCATTTCATCGATTTACCTTGGCCCTTGCTTCGTCCATTTACATATACGATGAACTTCATAAAAATAAATTTTTGTATTTATTTCTTTTTAAATCTAATTGTGCATTATCACTTTTTTCTTTATAAATATTATAAATAAAATAAAATTTTTTGCTTTCTCTATTAAGTTCATTAAAAAATGTCAAAGTCCAGTTGACCGGTCGGCTACTAAACGTAAAAACTTGTAATTACTTTATTGCAGCCAGATCAAATTATTTTAGACCTTGCTAACACAACAAAAACCTTAGAGAGATACACCAGATAGAGCTCTTCCGTTTTGTCTTTGCTTCCTCTTAACACTTTTCATATTTAAACTTTAGAGTTTCAATCTTATTAATTTGCTTAAGGCATCAAAGTATTAGTGTTTTTGTAAGAAACTAAAGAATTCTATAATTAACAATATATGGCTACTACTAACTTCCATACCAAGGCAATATTTTTTTCTGATATGTTAAATTCTTTATAAAATTTTTTTAAGATCGATTACCGTAATTCACTTCCTAGAAAACTCCTTTATATAACTGTTGGTCGGGATATAAAAATAAAGGCAGTAAAAGTTAGCACAAATTTTAAATTTATTAACTATCGATATTTTATAAATCGCGATATGCTGTTTTTTTGTAAAGAAGTGAATATTTTTAAACTTATAGAATTTTTAATCAGTATGCTTAGCTACTAGTAATTTTTCAATGAGTTATAATCGCAATAACTTATATAGACCTTGCTGATTACGGAGTCGTATAGATTAAATAAAATACTTAATATACTTATATTCAACTGAGGAGGTAACTTTGTAATTTACTAAAGGACTTAATTGAATTCAAAGGTGCTTTTATTAATTTTGTCCTCACCTGAATAAGTTTAAGTACGAAAAATAGTGAAAGTACTCAAAGTAATAAATAGTTATTACTTCTTCAATGTTTTCTGTTATAGCGGTAGACACTAGGCTGTAGTATACTACAATAAAGTTTCCATTTTTAAAGTATTCTGTTGTGCGCTATAGTTTTTTAACTAGGATTATTTTAAGCTTTTTTAGCTAATATTTTAAAGATAAATTAATTTTATAAATTTTATAAAATTACGTATTAGTAAAGCATTGAGTTAAGAACTCTAAAAATGTAGTTTAAATATTTATTTATAAATTAAATGTACTACAGCTTGGTTCTAATTTAAAAAGTGGGACCGAAATACTTTAGAATCCTGCACCTCCCGAGAGTCGTTAAGGGAGCGAAAAGTTGTCATAATTTCCTATGACTGTGGACATCAGACAGCAAAGACTGGATAGCAGGGAAAGAAGGCGATCAGTTAACTTCAGGGTTGGTGTTACATTTTTATAAGTCTATTCTCATAACATGTCGAACGCGTTTTCAAAATACAAATACATACACATCAATTAAAATAATATTAAACCCTGTCGTAACGTGTTCGAAGAAAACTTAAACCAAACTGAAAAACAGATATACGAGTGCTCGCTACAAACTTACCCCAAGTACTACCGCTTCTGCTATCTTGCTAATACAGGACAAAAACCTTTAAAATAGTAGCCCTTATAAGTCCAGGCAGGGAACACCCTATTTAGAAATGCGCCCGACTTCTTCCGTTTAACGTCACTCAGGATTTGTACAAGACTTGAGAGAATAATTTGCGACTAGAAACTAAGACGGTTATTGCAATCTCTGGTAAGTGTTTGAGCATTGTTGTTGGTTAGTCGTTTAAGCCTGCCACCTTTTTAGTTCGTAGAAGGTTTATAGTTGATATCGCACCACATACCTATATATTAGGAAGTTATATTTCAAGGGTTGCCTTTGCGGAGCGCTATTTTCGATAGCAGATGCAACTTTAACTGTGAAGGCAGTGGTTAAATAAAAGTCGCATAAAAACGTATCTGGGCAACGGTTGAGGTTTCTTGCGCTTTCTTTAAGTTTAACAGATCGCCAGTAGATATGAGGTTTTTTAATCTTTCAAAGTCAACAGTTTTAGAGGTACACGTATATTAAGAATACGTTTATCCTTGAGGCTTTAGGTGGTTACGCATTTTAGTTGTTGCCGCCTTTTTAGAATTTAAATGAATTACATGGTGAGCCCGCCAATGCAATAGAAGCCTTTTTACATGTTTTACTTACCGTAGTCTCAGAGAGATGACAGCTAAATAGTTCAGGAAAACTACTAGAGCCGAATTTTATAAAATCTCTGCTATAACTAGTTATTAGTATTATAGTTCATATGTTAAATAAAGGGTTGAAGGCAGGGGAGCCCAACTCGTAAAGCACAGGTGTGTAGCCCGAGGATAGATTTACTGGCGTGGTCCTGAGAGGATATCACTGCAAACAATTAATTAGCTCGCAGAGCTTATTAACTCTTTAAAACATATAATCTATTTATATCCATATGGAAACAAGCTAAAGTTGTTTTATAGTAAAAACACCCCGCTCAAGCAACTACGCTTAGGATTATTGCTCCATAAGCTTACTTTCCTGCTTTGCTTCTCTAAAGGTTGTAAAAATATGATAACGATTGAAAACTTTTCCTGCTAACCGGTTTGATTCTGCTGGGGAGCCATCCCATCGCACAACATATATATTTTTTTTTCTTGAGGTTGGTAGCAAAACAACTAAAGAGTCTTAATTGGCTTTTGAGAGGGTCTGACAGTATACAATATGTGTAGATGTAAAATTTTCACATATTTTATAAAAATTATAGTCATTCCTAGATGTGACCAGTGTAGGAACAGAACTCTCGAATTTTAGTCATTTAATGATAATATTTCTTAGGTATTATTATTATCGCCTACTTTTTTTCGCCTACCTGTCAAACAACCTTGGCGTTGTAATGCCTTCGGCACTGGTATGTAAAGTAGCTCCCAGCCCCTGCCTATAGCAATTAAAATGTAATATATGCAATCTTACCTTAACTTGAGAGGATTGATTAACAGTTAAAAAAGCTACGCCATGCTTAGTTAAAAAAAAAGGAACAAAAGGGTATTAAAAAATATATTTCGTATGCCTATCCTCTTCCCCTAAAATAATAATGTCAAATACATTATGATCGTTTTAGATAACCGATTATATCGAGGGTCCCATTAACTACCTACTATTATAGCAAAAATATTTTACTTAACCTTGATAACATTAATATTATCTAAAAAGATTTTCTTAGACCAGTAAGGATTTAACGCACCAAGAGGTTGGGCCTATTTTTCGGACTGCAGCATTGATAGACTGCAATAAAATACAAAACATCTTTCAAGAGTGCTCACAGGAGCTCCTCGGTGGATTAGACTTCTCTCTATGCAGTTGCGAATCTGAACCATGATTAACTTCTTTTAAGCACATGAAGATTACTGTAATGAATTATTTGCTACTTCTCTAAATTACAACACCTCACTTTCCTATATATATAAGCTTTCTACTATGTCAGATTATAAATTTGAATCCAGAAAAGTGAAAAATAGTATAATCCTACAAACTGCTACAAGCGATATCGGGGTAAAAGGTCTGTCTTTTAGCGCTTTGGTGGAAGAGAATGCTGCATTGCATTTGTAAGTGCAATGGTACTGGAGAAAGAGGTTTAGCATTACAACTAGAGAGGCACCGGCAGTAGCTGGTGCACCTATATTAAAGTAAGTAACCAGAGACTTACGGGGTAACATTTTAAAGATCTTTTGGGTTAAGTGAGTATGCACGCAAAAGAGAGAGGACAGGGCGTCCACAGAATTTAGAAGATTATGGACATGTGCGTTTACTTTAAAAAATAAATGAAAACTGAAACGCGGTGACTTTTCTTCTCTTTATATGATCGAAAATATAGAGGTTAAAAAACGAAATCGGCAAAGTTATGTTGATTAATGTCTAAGATAATACATATAAGCTTGTTCCATGCAAAACTTAAGAACTGAGAAAACTATTTAAAACAAAAGTTATTTAAAGAGTGAGTAGGCAAGTTGGTTAGGACTGCTTCACTTTGAAAATATATGCGTAAGGAACCATATTAAGTTTATTTAGTTAAAAAATTTAGACGGCATTCCTATTCTTAATAAAAATATCAAATTTATATGTATCAAACGCTAACTTTTTTTACTATGAATTAAGCTACAGCTACTTTTTTTTTTATGCTTTTCCTGGCTTGTCCAATGCAACTATTTTATATATTAAAAGGCTACACAAACTTCAAAATACTTTTAGGATATCAACGAATTCGTTCTGGTTTCTAGAGATCGACTTCACCAAGACTCTTTAATAAACTAATATTTTCGCGAAAAACCCACATGAGCGTATAAAAACGCAAACTTTTTACGTGTAAAATATACTAATTATATCTTAAAACATTGCCAGAATTATCGACGACGTTCTAAGTCTTATAAGGCGGAGGAAATAAACTATTTTATTTACTTTTATCTATTATACATTATTTTTTTATTCGTTTTGTCTTTATTATTTTATTTTTTGTTACATTTTATATAAATACTTTTTTCTAGCCCCTTTTTCTTTTTATAACTATTGGCACAAGAAAGAAGAAAGTTAAAACCTCAATAAATAGTATTATACTGGAAAAGTCTTCATGGGCATCCCTGCGATACTAACGCCGCTCATCTTAACGGCCCTGCACGCTACTCTAAGTCGTTCTATTGGTGGTATTTTAACTACAAACCCTATCGCATGGGAGAACCGGCTAATAAACGCAGATTGAGAATTCACAGGACGACAGCTGAGAAAAATGAACACAATGGAATGCACCAGATTAAGGCGTCTGATGAACTGCCTTGGATCACTTGTCTGTTTCGCTCTAACTGATTCCACTGGCCTTTCATTATAATGAGCAAATTAATAGAAATGCTCAAGTAGACGTTCTCACCGTTCTCGTGATTGTTAGCAACGCCTGCTTTACTGGAAACGTGGTTACTAACTGCGAGAGTGCGGTGAAATAAGCTCAGGTTAACCAACGATGATAATGAAGATAGCGTGAGGCCTGTTATGCAAACTGCACACCCTGTCAATTTTTTGCAGCTAAGACGTGCTCAAGTCGTACTTAAACGGCTGGGTCGAGTGAGCGTGTTGCCGCCAGCAATTTCGTAGCAGGGCCCCAAATGCTCTCTATCATATTCGCTGCTCTTGTTGCTCTATACGAGTCTGCCTCTTCCAGTCAACCGTCATATGCGAATCGTCCTTTACGACGTGGATTCAATAATTTATTCGCCGTTGAAGTCACCAGTCTACCTCCTGAACATATACAGCTTTATCTTTCAAGGCGCCGCTGGAACCAAGCAACCTGTCATGGTATCCGCGCCTAAATTATGTGATGGTAAAGGTCAAGGCAGCGAGCCAGGGCTATTTTCTTTCATTTGCAATTAAAGTAGACTTCCGTTGCGTATCAAGTGAAGGTTGTATTAATTGCATATTCGGTCGATCATGCCCTATGCCTTTGTCGTCTAGGCTCGGACTCATCGGCACTAGGGTCCTCGCTACGTGTGACACAACGTACTGGTTAGATTCCCACCACGTCAAAAAGAGGACACCCACCTTAATGAAGAGGAAATCACTTATAAAGGTATCGAGTTCTAACGATGTGCAACGATTACATCGCGAACTACTGGTGAACTGCTAACCACAGTCTATAAGCAAGGACATCGCACTTTAAGTAAGGATATTAGCTTTTTAAGCCGAGGAGAACTCACGAGTTATACAGAGTTTAAATAAAACCCAAAGGACATATATAGTTTAATTACAAAAAATTATATTGTTTAAAAGCTTAATATTGAAAGGTTGTGACCCGATCGAGCGCTAGAAAACACTGTTTGTAAGAAAATTCCTCGAAGGAGGGGGGCATCCACTAATTATAGTCGCATACTATAAAACGCTACCAACCTAAAATAAAAATTTCGTTGCACACCCGGGAAGCATTATTTTTACTTGTCTTTGTAGTACTAGTCCTTATAGTAAATGACGGAAAAATTGGACCAACGCGAAATAGTAGAACGCTTCCAGGCAATGTGCAACCAGCAAACGCAATTAAGTTCTAAACTAGCTGAACTTGAGGCTGAACGAGCTGAGCATGAGTATCTTATTTGCTCTGTCAAAACCTATATTGTATTTAACTTGCCCTATTGCTGTCCGCTGAACAACAAAAAAGAATTAAATAGTGTTTATAAGGTTTTAATAATATTCTTAACAGGTTAGTACTTGAGACTTTGGAAAAAACGCCAGATTCTCGTAAATGCTTTCGACTGATAGGGGGTGTTTTAATCGAGAGAACTGTTAAAGAAGTGTTTCCAGCTGTTAAACAAAATGAGAGTAATGTAAGTCCCTTATTTATGTACATAACCCTTCTACTACTTGCATATATTTTTGTATGCAACTTAATATTTTAGTTGTGCAAAATTATTGGAGAGTTACAAGAAGAACTAAATAAAATTATCATTGATATATCCGAGTACAAGCAGAAGTATAACATAATGACCCAAGAAGAATATTTAGCAAGGCCAAGGCAAGTTGTTTGAAGTTATCGTTGCCCTTAATAGTATATTCTTCGCTGATAATTTCAACTGTAAAGATTTTGTGTGGAAAGAATAAATAATTTCAAAGCTAATTAGCTCTCTATTAAACGATATCGCCGGTAGCACTTTTTAAAGTATTTACGTGGAACTTTGATTTCAATTTTCGCCAATTTACTTTTTGTTTTAGAAATATAAATTAAAAGCCGTTTATGAGTTTTATGTAAATTGTATGATTAGGTCTTTTACATATCTTAACGAGAATCTTTTCATTACAGGGAGTACTTTTTTTATAAAACTGTATAATCAAGACTGGAAGCTTTTTTATAACTTAAAATTAAATGGTTAAAAGCTTCACCAAAGTTAGTAGTTAAGCAATTACTTATAGTTTTGTTTAAAAGTGAAGTGCATGTATTAAAAAAGAAAGAGCCACCAAAAAACGTTTACAGTTAGCCATAGTGGCACGCAGGATCCCCTGCCTCTGCGGTTCACGCAACACTTGCAGGCATAAAAATTTTTATTTCGGTAAGTATGAGAAGCAGACGATCCGGAAGAGAACGTTTGTGTTGCACAACATATAATCTACGCAAGGAGTCAAATATTTTTCGCGTTGCGGAATAGTTTACAATTAGAATAATTTGGGATTGAAGGCATTCGAACTTTATTACTGTATTCTGTAATTACATGCCTAAAAAAAGGGGGTCAAGGTTCTATTACAGCTAAGTGCTCTCTTAACAATTATAAGCCATAATCGTCTGTTTTCGCAAGGATGAGCGTAGCAAAGAGTTCAATTCTTCATCTGCTTCTAGAAAACTTTCCAGAAATACTTTATGCTTATGAAATGTTCTCCCGTCAGGCGAATTAGGATCCTGCAAAATTTCTTCGAAAAGTTTACTCCAGAGATCAAAATGAAGTTTCCTTGAACTAATAAAGGAGACTCAGAAAAAAGTAAACAGGTTCCTGCAAACAAGAACTTTTCAAGAGGAGCAATAAAATTTTCGTTGCCTGATGGAATTTCAAAGGGTTTCATGTATAGTAAATAATATAAGACACTTAATAATCCGAGAGAATCGTTCTATCCGTTGGTAATAATAAAAGGAGGGAGAAGAAATATTAATAATAGTCATCAAACATTTTGCAATTGCGGTTCTGCAAGCGCTTTTTCTAAAGAAAAAAATTAGTAAAGGGAGCTATAACCAACTCCAAAGAAAATGTTAACCGCATTTCTCCAACGAAGTCGCACTTGAACCCAACTGTAAATCTGAACTCTTTTCAAAGTTTATAATAACGAGTCCGTGATCCCTCCTGAGCCAAACCTTAGTAAACATACATAATAAGTAAACAGAAGCGCACCATCCATTGGAGCCGTCCTTGAACCATTTGCCGGTGGGAGCTTTACTAAAATGAGACGAAAAAAAAGCATCACACTCCTTACAGCTAAACAGTGTTAACATCAAAACCCAGATCTCAAAAGAAGATTTTCAGGGCAAACAGCGCCATGAAAAATATTGCAGTCTCGAAGATCTTCTAAAATACCCAAAAGTTCGATTGCGTAAAAAATAACGAGACTTTCGTCCATAAATTTATTTTCGCACTGGTAAGCCAGAAGCACATCCTTTATAGATGTATTGTTACGTTAATAGATTTGCTACAAAACTAATGATCCGTACCAACAAAGAGTCCTGGTGAGGAAGATACTTAAGTAAAGTGACACTGGCATCCTTAAAAACAGTGACGCTGTGGGCGGCTGCCACCCGACTTTGGTGTACATTCTGTGCGCAACCAAGAATGAGGAATGGGTCTAGTGCGGATTTTCCAGCATACTAGAGTGGCCGGCTCTCGAAGATTCCTGATCCTCCGCTGGAACTCACAGGCAATGTAGAACTCCCAGACATCGGAGTGAGGAGCTATCTAAGGGAAATCCACAGAAATCGCACCAGAATCCAAGGAGGAGAGAAACCTTCATTGTGAGCACATCATGGTCGTCAGAAATGTCCACCTCGTCAGTGATTAGTAGAGAGTCGTAAACGGCCATGTGGACCACCATGTATATCCTCTTTCCATCTCCAAACTCTTCTTGGACGTCATACAGACCCGTCCCTGGCCGATGCAGTAAAGAGCAACAAACGCCCGACAGCTATTAATTAATGGCACCAAGTTCGAGTTGAGAGCCAGCGCATATAGTAGGCAGCCAAGAGTCGCTAGAATAGTAGTTTGGGTGAGTGAGGGCCGCTGACTTGGCCGCCTGACAATGTAAAGTCGAAGCGATTGGGTGGCATTTGCTAAAAAAAAAAAAAAAAAAAGAACCTTTAATGCAGGGCACAGCCCTTCAATGTCTAAAAAGCATATATTCGTACTTACTCTCTTTATCATAACCAATAAACTTTCAAGTAAACCTGATGGCGCCGGGGCTACGTGCTTGACCTCCTCAGGGCTTGTTTCCGGTATCGGTGACAGCTTCGAGCGACCATTTAAGCTGACGAGGGCAGCAGCGGGCGTCTGCGTAGTATTGAAGGCCTGTGGTTCAGCTAAGCATAAAAAGTACCAATATATCGTTTCCAGAGTCCCAGGAAGTACTTTTATTATCCTGGTCTGTACGAACAGACAAGGGCAACAATGTGCTGGGCAGCGGAGTCTCGTCGGGCGTGTCCTCCAAGCACAGCTCCTTCTCACCGTCTACGTATATAGTGAATGGTACTGTCTCATGAGAAACAGGAGGCCTATGTATTGGTTGACGGTTAGAAGAAGGATTATAGTGGAAACAGAGGATACTTTTCTTCCATGGCTTTTAGGATGTCTGCGTTAGTCAGCTTTTGCTTGGGGTGACCTTCAAAGCACACATAGACGAATGTTAAAAATAAAGAGTAAAGCGCTAATAAGGAATACTATCTTCGAAAGGAGCCAATGGATCTTTAGTACGATTCATGTCTTGCGGGACGGGGAAAGCGCTGCAGCCTTTAGAGAAAAGGACGCTGACGGCATCTGGTGTTACCACGGGGACGGCCTCTGCGAGCCCACAAGTGGAGTAGCCATGACCAAGAACAAAGGGTGTCTAAGCAGAAGTAAACCATGCACGTGCTCGAAGGGCAAGGGGGCGTTGAACATGGCCATGACGTCGCTAATAGCCTTCTGCGTGTGCACCTTCCGGGGGTAAGCCGCTCCAGTAGACAACAATACACATTATCAATAGAATACGGTGGGCGAGCTGGTACTCGGCGGCTCCAGCACTTCCGAGTTTCTGGACGAGCGCGACAATATTTCAGCTTTGAAGGTTGCAGTGAAGTCCTTAAAGCCGTCTACTTCGAGACTCTGCTCGCAGTAAAGAGACAGTTCTTTTTATACCATAAGTCACGGAATGTGCCGCACTTTATGGTCACTCGTCGGGCTTTCTGGCAGAGTTACACGAGCCTCCGCGCTAATTAAGTCTTTTTATTTAATATGAGTTGGCTTTGCCCGCTATCTAACCAAGGTGAACAATACCTTCTTTGAGGATTTCCGTACTTTCTCTTCTGAAAAAGCAAAGCGGTAAGAGTCGTGGTATCAATAATAATAATAATAGTTCTCACATTATTAAGTAAGAATACTTAGGCTGCAGGGCCCGAAGTTCCTCTGGAGAAAGTTCGATGTCGCCTTTGGGGCTCAATAAATGCACGGCGTAGCGAACTCTTTCGACCCCCCCCGTCGGAAGAGCCCTCGTTTGAAGTAGAGAAAGAGTCTCTTTGCTACGATTTAACACGTGTTCGCGCAAACAACTAAATACAAAGTTTGATAGAGTACCGTTCCTTGCAAGATTCCTTAACGGGGCCCCCGTTGTCTTGGACTTTTTCCTCTGCAAATAAAATTTTAAATAGCTTTTATAGTAAACGAGAAAACTGTAATAGACTACTTTATAGGGTAATAAAACTAGTTTTACTGAACAAACTTGTTTAACAACAAATCTTAATTTTGGCACACTTTTATTAAATTATACTGAATGTAAATCCCGAACTAAATAGAATAAAAAAATCTTCTTTATAAAGTGACTGCACCTTTTAATGAAGAATCTTTTAGAACACTTAAAGGTCGACGCATGGTTTGTTTATGCCGTTTCTCAAATTCAAAAAAATGCTTTTTTAAACGATCTAACGGTTTTGCTTGTCTAAATATTACTTTTTAATTAATTAAAAATAACACGAACTTATAATTAAAAAGTCAGTCCCTTATAAGTTTATATATATAATAAATAAATAAATGAACCTTTCTATTCCAATAAGAAAGCATTGTTCAGCCTTTTGAAGTAAACCCGCTAATAAATGTTAAAGTTACTTCAATTTTTTACTAAATATTATTAGAATTTTAACTTTCGTTCTACGAACACAAACTAATATTTAAAAATTCAGCTACTACTATTGAAAGTAGACAGCCTAAATGGTGTTAAAGGGATAAAGACCGATAAAGTTTACTTGAAAAAAATAACAAGATCAAACAATAGATTCAATTATTATTAAATGGTAAACAACACTAAACGCAGTATATGCTGTAGTCCACGTTAGTACTTTTTTCAAACAAGGCTCCAAAGTGCTCATAAAAAAAAGCCAACTTCGATGCGATTTTTAACTGAAGTATCTCTTCGTAGATAGAAGGTATATCACCCGACACTTCAGCCTAAATTAAAAAATAAACAAGAAGTAAATAATAAAATAAAAATAATTAAAAAAGGGAATAGGCAGGACAACTAACATAGCGAAACCATAATTTTATAAAGCGAATGTCGTTTCTGTATTGATCCGAAAACTAGAAAACGTAAGCAGTTTATTTATTACGCTCTGTAAGAAGCTAAAAAAGAAACTTTATATTCTGTTATACAACGTTTTAAAACAAGTAAAAAGTTATAAGCAGAATCTTCGCAGTTTTCTAAGTAATTGAGGTAGCTAAAAAAAAAATTATCGAAGATTAAACGTTATAAAGTATTTTAAAAAACTAATCGACCAAATCCAAACACTAAGAGGATCGTCGCTTTCATCGCTAGCAAGTTTTCTTTCATATTCTCTATATCATAACCGTTCTATAATAAAAGAGGCTGATGCTATAACAATAAAGAAAACAACTTAATTGCACTATCTTGCTTTGAATTTAAAATGGTAGCAGAAGAACAGTGTGAACTTTTATTCTCTTTACTTTGTAAATCTCTCATTTAAAACTTTAACATTGAAAAACTAAAACCACGGTTAAGTAAAAATCAGCTTAAGCTATAAAGGCCATGCAGGGTTCTTCGGGAGGTTTACTTTTAAAGTTGCTCTAGGGTTTAGCAATTTTTCAGTTGACGACACCGAGAATATAAGTGTAATAAAAAAGGCTCGGTTGAAAAAGCAAGAGATACAAAGCGCTAGCATAGGAAAATAAAATATAGTATAGTAAACGTTGGAATAATTGATCTGCGCTTTATTATTTTTTTTTAAAAACCTATTTATTAAAAATGTCTTATATGACAAAATGTAAGGGTACTATAATATAAAAAAAAAAACTATTTCTTGCTAAGAATTTGCAATATAAACAAATAACGTCTCTAACTTAAATTACCGACCCAGCAAATCTTTATAACAAAGTTATGGAGAAAAGTCTACCTCTTTGCAAAAAAGTAAATTGCTCTGAGATTATCTGACATACTTGCAGTTCTATTGACCAAAGCATACGTAAATATGCTAAGAACTTTGTTCATAATTATTTTAGGTTGGAGGTTAATAAAAACACCTTTTATCATTACAGTTGCTTTTTGTCATGGTTAATTTTTTTTTTTTTAAACCTCCGCAGAGAACTTAAGTATGCGGAATAAACTTAAAAAATTGCTGTGTCAAAGGGGCCATAAAAGATTTTTGATAAACAAAGAGGTATTACAGATATACAGTCTCAATTCTTTTTTTCGTTTTTTTGGATGTAAAGTTATAATTGAGTAAGTCAACAAAGTGCTTAATAGTTAAATAACCAGATAGTAGTAATAGTGATTAAACTACTAAAATTTGAAAAGTCAAACTGACTAAAGCGGCATCCTCAAAGGAACCATTAATTATACTTATCTGGGTTATATAAGCTGTCTTCAGTATTTACATTACTGAATGAATTCCCCTCTAAACTACAAATTTTTTTAAAATAGAATATTTACCTAAACGATTCTATGCGATTCACTTAAATAGAAGGTAAATTTTGTCATCCTATAACAAATAGGTCTTAACCTAGCCTAAGAGAATAACCAAAAAGCTTTACAAATTGCAAAGAAGTCATACTAAACTAAGCCACTCAGTCATGGAGGAAGCTTGGCTAGCAGAAAGGCTGACCAATAGCTCCAAAGAGCCTCAGCTCTTGTAGTCGGGAGCACCTTGATTAGACCGGATGGCTACGGTCAGGGCCCGTACGGAATGTAACACTAGCAACCTCAATTACCTGTCGCATACCCCAACTAGGTAATCTGCGCTCGAAAACACCGAGCATCACCTAAAGCTTTTAGGAAAAAAGGGCTTCAGTAAATATTTGAAAGACAGACCATAGCATGTCAGTGAAAAAAGAAACCCTAAAAATAACCTCCTCTATCTATTTTTATATTACGTAAGCCCTTTACAAACTAAAGTCACGGCTGCACATTAGAGTCAACAACTTGTTTCCTTTTAATGATTTGGAATTAAGGACGTTATAACAAACTTGGTTTTGAAAAACTTTCTTACAACAATGTTAATAACGTTAAATACCAAATTCTGCTTAGCCTCGTTTTTTTTGACTTATTAATATGGTTTAGAATTTGTGACTTATATCGTATTACCCTATTTCTTAGGCTTATAAGGAAAAAATTTAAAGTCATCATTTTTCTTATAGACCAAAACAGAGTAAAATTTAAAATTATGGAACCTCTTTGTTTAAAAAAAATATAATCAATTTAATTTTTTTGAAATGACAAACTATATAAAAAAGGCGGACTTTTTAGGTATGATATGCTTAGAACCATTGAAATGGCCCATAAAACGTGAATTTATTCACAAGTAGGCTTTAACATATAGTAGAATAAAAATAATAACAGGACGAACAAGCTTAATTTGTTAATAAAGTTAGAAAATTTTGTTTTTTGAATTTAGTATATTTTACTATGTGGTATCCTGTAAGAAATTAGTGATTTATAAGCTTTAAAGCAAACGGAAAGCAGAAAAACAGCACTACTAGGAGAAAACTTTGTAATCTTGTCGCGAAGATAAAGATCCTCAGCGTCGATGTTACTGATTATTTCTATGACCGATAAGCTAAGAGAACTTCTCGTTCTTCGTTACTTTTGGTCTAATATTGTTTAACTTTTGTACGTATATACAAATTATATTTGTTTTTCCGCTTCCAAAAAGAAAACAAAAGGAGGAAGAGAGAGAGAAGTGGAAAAAAAAAATTCCTCTTTTTTACTTTTTCCTTTCACTCTTTTTTTTATTTGGAGGCTTCGACGCAGTAATAGAAGGAGTAAACGGGTCGAAACCTTCTCCTTAATAGGAACGGTGTAATATATCAAACAACAATTTTTTTTGAGTTATGAAAAGGGACAGCTCTCAGGGTATAGTAGCTAATTTGCTAGCTACCATCAAAGCTCTGCACCAAAATTATATTCTGCAAAATTTATTGAAGAACTAAGAAATAAAGGCCTTTCGAGGCTAGTGCTCCTAAAAAATGAAAGGGAAAGCAATCAGTCTTAGAGCATTCAATAGGAAATATTTTTTTCTCTTAAGGTACTATTTAATAATGAACATACTGTAAGCTCAAAGCATACCGATGGATATCTTAAAAATTTGAGCATGAACACTATTAAAAGTAAGAAAAACAGGACTAATAGTTCAACTAGTACTTCATATAGTAGTACAAGTACTAACAATGTTAATAATAAAAACAGTGATAATAATATTGATAATAGTAATAGTAATGGTAATAGTAGTAATTATAATAGGCTCAATAATAATAGTAATATAATAACAAAAATTATAATAATAATAGTAATAAATATAAAGATAATAACAGTGGTAATAATCACAGTAGTATTGATAGCAATGTTAATAGTGTTATTGATAAAAACCTTCAAATTCCCCAAATTATTGTCATAATAAATCAGTTTAAAAAAAATAAAAATAAAAAATTTGCACCTCACAGTACAAAGCTAAAAATATATCTATTAACCCCGCTAAAGATGCAATACATGGGATAAAAATTACGGTACCTTTTGAAAACGACTTAAGAAAACTTACAGCTCTACTTGACGCCCATGGTTATAAAATTTTATACTTACCAGTAACCTTTTGAAAAAAGAGATAAAGTTGTTTTGCGTAGTCTTTACTGATCTAGACGCCGAATATATCAAACAAGAGCTAAAAATTCAAAGGTTCCACCTTCTGCACCACCAAAATGCGACGCTATGACAATTTAGAACTCCACTGCCTTTGGTGTAACAACCCCACAGGAAATTGCTTCGACGATGGAAGGACTTGCGCAACTAGAAATAAGTGTAAATAATTAGTAAAATTATGTTTATTTGAATATTTTTATAATTACAGAATAAAACAAAAGAGTCGGAACCTGAACCTGAACAAGACCAACAAGAACGAGAAAAAGGAGAAGAACAATAAGGGGGACACCCGACCATAAAAAGAATTAACGAAACTCAAGCTTTCCTGCAGCTGGCCAAGTTCACAAGTGGGCAATGTTAAAAATAATTAAGCGGGTTAATCATGAGGGCAAAGGGCTTAAAATTAGAAGGGTTTAGTACCGAGTATTACATTTGGTCCCTATTAAATTACCTTAAACTGAAAAAAGTATATACAGCGTAAGAGTTATAGGCTACATTACAGTCTCTGCGGTACCTTTTGGTATAATGGGAGGATTGGCAATGCTTTAGATGTCAGTTATTCAGATATAACGAAAAAAATTTGTTCCTCTGGTTACAAATATGTTTAATGCTGTTAAGATCATGCCACGAAGATATACCCTAAAGAAAATATGAAAACCAAAGATGTGCAAACTGTGATGGCGGCCACACTGCAAACTACAGAGGATAAATCTTACATTATAAAAACGCTTATCTTAAACAAATTTGGAGAACTGATAATAAGGAAAATATAAGACATTGTTCTGTAGAACCAGCACCGAGCTACGCTCGCGAAATTCGAGTTGTGATAGGGAACCTTCAACATCTACTAACTTAGACGATTTAATAATTAATCATGTAGTAAGTCTCCCTTACTGGGGCTATTAGTAATAAAATTTCGAAAGCGATAGGCGATTTATTCGAGAAACTTAACAGTTGGAAATAAATAATGAATACCGCTTGAAATATTTTAAGATTTTATCTTGGAAAGCAGTCGGCTTAAGAAACAAGAAATTTGATTTACTTGAGCTTGTTACTCGTTAGCAGATTGGTATTTTTCTCATTTCGGAAACTCGCTTGAAAGAAGGTAATAAGTATCAAGTAACTAATTATACTACTCATAGGCGCGATCTCATGTCTCATGTCCTTTAGAAAAGGAAGGGTAGCAATTTTAGTTATGAAAGGAGTTCAACACAGAGTTATGTATAAGCAATGTTCAAGCTTAGAGATAGAAGCAGTTGGGACACACATCAATTTACAAAAGAATGGCTACGCATCAGCGATATCAGCTTTCAAGTCCCCAAGGAAGAAGTTATTTTATGTGGACTTAGAATATTTTTGGCTATAGAGCTTAGTTTTGTTGACTGGAGGTCTCAATTGAAAAGCACGTTCACTGGAACGACCGCTGATCGAATAGAAAGGGGAGCTCTTAGCTGATTGAGCTGATTTATTCGATTCCACTTTTTTTAGGCCAAATGACCCAACCCACTTTTAGCGGTAAAGCATTGAGGTATTGGACGTTGCAGTATTAAAAAATATATATGCCACTGCAAGTATTAATTCTATTTACGAGTTGTCCTCCGACCACAGTCCAGTTCTCATCGAGCTGGAAGATATTGTTTTTCCTGAAGGCTCATATCAAAATAACTCACTGGTCAATTTTTTAAAGATTGCTGGACGGAGCCGGGCTTCGATGAGGCGGCAATCATCTAGAGTCAACAATCCAAAGTGCTTACAGTTCTGTCTCAACTTCTAGGCCTTCTAAATCCATTAGCTTATTAATACCTCCCGCTTTTACACAGATGATTAAAAGGAGACGCTTCCTTGTATTAAAATATATAAAGACAGGCTTTTTAGGGACAAAAAAGCCTACAACAAAGTTAATAACTTATTAAAGAGGGAATTGATAAAAATTATTGGAATTTTAGGAAGAAAAATTTAAGTGTTTAAGTTCTACCGACTTGTCGTTATGGGAATTTAAGTGTCAGGAAATTTAAACCCTTAAACCTATAGAAATTAACTGTACACAGATACATATATATAAGATACAGACGCACGGACGAGACTAAAACGAAAGCGCAGAAAAAAATTAATGCGACTGCTTGTTTACTTTAAGCATACGTTCCTTATATGCTAACAATTAAGCGATAAAATAATCTTTAAACAATCTTAAGAAATTGCCTAAAAATGGCAATTTGAGTTAAAATTATGAACTGGGATCTTTTCCTCAACAAAAAGGTCCCTTAACCCTACCGCGATTTAATAAGTATATTACCAATATATCATTAATGTGGAGTAGCACATACTGCCAGCGATAAATCTAACGTTTTTGCTCAACACTCGTCTTCGTATTACAGAGGGTTTTACGACCCAAGAAGAGGAATTTTGGTGTGAGGCGCCCTCTATAATTAAGACATTATTTACTTTACTAGGTGCGATGAATTAATATAACCAGCTGGGTAAAGACCATAAAGGATGTGGGTACAAACGGTATATTGAACCTATTTCTCAAACATTTTATTACTAAGGCTGTTGCCTACATAGACGAGCTTTTTCATTCGTCTTAATACGATTAACTATATCTTACTTTCCAAATCGTTGAAAAGTTAGCAGTTCATATTTCCAAATTAAAAAAAAAAAACAGGAGACTTATTCAAAGTCTCTAGGCCCATAAGTTTACTATTCTGCACGGGCAAAGTATCAAAGGCTGTGATACTCGCAAGATTAAAATAACTTCATTGAATAAAAAAAAAAGGACTTTATCCCAGAGTGTCAATTTGGTACAGATGCTAAGATTTTCACAATGTGTGTTACTAAAGCTTTTAACGAACGAAAATATTCCGCAATTTATCCTAAGAAGTTGAGGAAGCCTTTAATAAAGTTTGGCACACAGAGGCTTGTCTACTAGTTGGCCATATTTACTTCTTATGTCCTTAATCATGATGACAAAAAACTATTTACTAAATAGAAAAATTACAGTTCCGTATAGGGACGGTTAATTCAAATCAGGGAGATTTAAACGTTGCAGTCCTTCAAGGATCACTTTTATCACCGCTTTTACTTGCGATTCATACGGCCGAAATCTCTAGATCAACTATCGTATCACTAGCCCAGCATGCGGACGACAGTCGACGGCACTAGCTATTGAACAATATAACTTTATTTTTACACTCTAAAAACCTGGTTTACTAATTGGAAGATAACGACCAATGCTTCCAAGAGTGCAGTAATGGTAATTTCAAAAAGAAGAGTTAATATTTAGAAGCGCCGAACTTTATATATATTTAAAACTGCTATTCCGTGGAGCTCCCGTGTTAAGTACTCAGGAGTTATTGTAGATCATAATTAACGTGGAACGCTCAAGCTGAGTATGTTCTGAGAAAAAGGAATGCAGTTAAGAATATCCTATACCCATCAAAATATGTGGGCGCAGCAACTCCACCTTAAAAAACAAGTAAAAACAAGCAGATCTTATAAAAATGCATTATTCGCTGAATTATGGTTGTATGTTTCCGTTTGGATGTCCTACTCTGACAGTCATATAAATAGATTGCAAATTTTTCTAAACAAATTTCTCTAAATAATCACTGATGCTTCAGGGTTCATATATAATACTCTGTACATCGTGTCTGCCAAATGAAAACAGTCAAGACTTTGTCCTTACAAATTGCGTTTAAATACTATAAAGAAAGCAGCAAACATGCCAATAGTTTATTAGCCACTGCTGTTAGTTATAATCCAGACCAATACAACAGGTATAGAATACCTAAACAAATTTAAAGACCACTCCCTTTGAGCCTCGATTTATCACCCTAATTATTTACATTTAATATTATCATTTAGTAATGAGTAATTCGTATATAATAGTGACAAAATACATATACAATCCTATTTTTCAATATGCTTAATAGACTTAAGTATAATTATATTTCAGTTAATATATATGAGAAAAACAGCGTATTAAAGTATATTTATGTATTATCACTTAAATTATGTTGTATTATTATTATTTACTGATCTTATTTAGTTATCTTGTTATATCCTAGTCATACTTGATAATAAAATCACTTTATTTTTGATTGGTTGTTGCTGTGTACCTCTTTCTTATAACTTGCCAATGGACTGGTACGCAAACATTGAATATGACGACTCTTTGAAGGGGACTGAATCCCTCTTTACCTCTCTTATAGCTTAAGAAGAGAATAAGGATTAAGAAGCAAAGATATGCTATGCATATCGTCTGTAGTACGTCAGTAAAAAATAAATAAAAAGTAAACGACGGACGGGCAACAGTTTTAATATGTGGCCTGGACACCTCTACATTTCACTACAAACTTGCTATAAATATTTTACTTAATTATATATTTATTACTACCTCTACTTTTCACTAAGTATTTGCTATATATACTAATTATCTACATACACATACTAAAATTGGCCACCGACAGCAGAAGATCTCTAACAGTCTAAAAGTGTAATATTCGGTAACCAGGAGATATACTCCCGAGTTTATGGAAAAACTGATTACCGCAGCCAAGGAACTAAAAGAACAACTTCAAAATTCAAACAAATCTTGAAGAAGCTTACTAGAAAGTAAACTCCTTTGAAAAACTTTGGTTGATAATGGTACCTTCAGGAGAAGAAAAACTATTTACCCACCAATAATTCCAGTGCGCTAGTGCTTGCCTACGTAACCCGTATAAGATACTTAAAGACGATGTAAATAAAAGGCTGCAATACTATAGGTAACGCCTACAAAAATAACAGTATTAATAGTGGCCGAAAATTTAGCGCTAATAATGGGAGGAAAAAATACATGCGCTGACGACAGTTATATTAGTAATTATAATAACATCAACAATAGTATTAATACTAAGATTAATAAAATTAACAATATAACGATTTTAACAATAATAGTAAAAATAATCTAACCAGTGTTAATAAGTATGATTCTAACAGCAAAGGTGACAACAACAATAATATTATTAAAGGAAGAATTCTTCCTATTACAATCCGAAATAAAGAATAATGGGATGGTATTGTTAATTGGAAGCGCTAAAGATGTCAGACATAGCATACGTATACTAATCTCATCTACAAATGGCTTTTGCAGGTTCACTACTGCCTTGGACACAGACGAATATGAATACATTTATCAACTCCCTGAGGTTAAGGATTTTAAAGTTGTGATTCGGGGTGCTCTTACTGAATTGAGCAGTGATGTATTCAAGACTGAGTTGGAGTCTCAGTGTTATCCCAAAGAGGTAATTGCATGCCACGTTACAAAAACAAAAATCCTTTACTATTAGTTCTTATAAACTTGTCTAAAACCGAGACTACCATCTATAACCTAAAAAAACCTGTCGCATTTCAGTTTCACGGGAACTCTTAAAAATATAGTGACCAAATTAGCCAATGTTTCCGCTACCAACTATATGGGCACATCAGAATTCAAATGTGTAAACTGTGGTGACAATCACGACTTTAAACTTTACGGTAAACACAACTCTTTAAGTCCGTGTTGCGCAAATCGCCGTTTGATTGTACCGCTTCATAAAGAAGCGAAGAAAAGGTAAGACAAAGTCCAACCAGATATTTCATATTCCCAAGTCGCTGATATCGGAATGCATTAAGGAATACCGGGCTTAATGGTAGATTTAAAAGGCTCGAACTCAGTCAATGATATAATGAGTAATTTTTTTTGTTTTTAATTAATAGAATTGTTTTCAAAAGATAGGAAATTTAGTCTCCAGATAGAAACCTCAACTTCTAGTTTGTACTCTCTTTCTGAAGGCGCCTTACAAGGTTCCCTTCCCTTGTTCTGTTTGTTATCCTCACTTCTGGTATCCTAACAGTCAACACTGTTTGCCTCGCTCAGTATACTGACGACACTGAAGTCTCTACAAGTTCTTAATCAGTCCCGTAGGCTATCAAATGTATGCGATTTTACTTAGAACTTCTTGAAAGCTGATTCCCATATAATAATCTTAAATTAATTTTACGATTCTTCGATTAAGACCTCCTCTGGTCCTCGCAGGCTAAGTATTTTGGTGCAGTTATTGACTACAGGTTCAAGTGGGACACTCACCGGGACTACTTAACTGAAAAAATTTTGAACTACTAGTCATCTTTTATATCCCCCTACTATACAAAAAGAGCAAGTTAAACCTTAGTAATAAGCTGCTTCTATATAAATGCATGTTAAGACTTATACTTACGTAGGCGTCTTCTGCTTGGATCTAATCTTCTATGAAACGCTTAAATAGGCTAAAAACCCTACGAGGTAATTTTCCTCGACTGTGTACCAACGCCCGTGGTTTTAAGGAACGTGCTTCCGCAAGGAGACTGTAAGTTTGAATTTATCACGGTTTTTATTAAAAACAACGCAGAAAAATGTTTTGTGTAGACCAGCACTCACTCAAACAAATTGCTATCTACGATAATAACCTACGCCCTTCGATGGTTCACCAAATATAGGAGACAAAAACCCTGGTGGGCCCTATCCTATTTAGCTGACATACTGAATACTTTGGTTATACTTTCTCCTCTACTACCGCCAATAATTAGTAGTGATAAGAATAGTATTGATATTAATAATGATATTAATAATAATAATAGTAATAACATTTATAATATTATAGCCATTATAATTTTAATAAAAATAATTACAAATAAATTTCATATTGAATAAAAAATGCAACTAATGTGCTCTCTACTAGAAGACTGTTAAAGGTTGACTTTCCTTACTACTGGAGTTTACTCTTCGACCCTTTCTTACAATGGGAATGAGGACGTATATTCTTGACTGGAGGACGCCAACTTCATAAATGAATAAATAACATATTTTTTTTACCAATGTTTGGTGCGCGCTTGCTAGGTTTTTTTTAAAGAAATTGCTTATTCTTTAACTGCTTGACTTTCTTAATATATAAATAAGCACATTTTAAACATATTCAATAAACTTTCGTTCGTTAAATTCAAAAATTTTTCATTATATTAGTGCTTAAATACTTTTTTTTTCACAATCTAAAAAAAATAAAGATGCACAGTTGAAGGAAATGGTTTGACAGCTTATTACAATGCTGTAAAGATTAATAATCTGAAAGTCTCAAATTCGGTATTGTGGTTAAAGAAAAGGGTAAATTTGCTTGAAGTTAGAAATTTCTAGTTACTTGTGGCATATAGGGGTATTTAATAATAGTTGTTGCCATAACCCATTGAAAACTCAATAGCTTTTTTTGTGGCGAAATAGTATTGGATTGGTTGCAACTAATGCAACCATTAGCTGAAAAACTTAGACAGTATTGTACAGGAGAATATGAAAGAAAAAATTCCACCTTTTAAAAGTGAAAAACGTATTATAAATAATGTTTTACAGAATAATGCCCAAGTTTATGTGTCTCACTCACATTTTGCTCTTTATCGTCTGCATTTTTATCTGGTTAAAAGCTATTCCATAACATGTTTGCACGAACGGTTTACTATCAATTAAGAGTTTTGATCAAATCCTATTGAAAGAAGCTAGAGTAAAGTTTAAAAAAAAATTATTCAAAGCCTAGAATAATTAATGCTAATAAAGTAAATTGGTTATTAAGGAAATTAGAGGTGTTTAAGTTACTATAAAAGTTCACAACTAAAATTTTTGTCAACTCATTTGTATTACAAGTCCGTTACATCTTAAATGACTATTCGCACCTCGTAAAAAGTTCGCGTATTTTTTTTTGTAGTTAAACGTAACACTACTTTTTAGTTGTAAGTTCAAATTATTAATACATGTTGTAAGAGCTGATAAATGAAATCTTGAAGCACGCAACAGTCGACGTCCTTAGCAGCGTTGTGCGTTGTGGTATTTTGACAGCCGTGAATTAGTCTGTCACCAGATGCGAGCGTGGTTTATTTATAGTGCACGATAACCTTGAAAGCAGCTGTAAATAAAAGTATATAATGGCCGGTAGTAGCCAAAGAAATTGGTCTTTGTGTTGTAAATATATATATATATTTTTAAAGTGCTCTTCTACCTAAGTTTTTTGGTAAAAAGTAACAATAAATCTGCTTAAGCTTTTTCCTACTTTATCGCCGATAGGGGTACCACGTTGTACTTATGAAACTACAATTTATGGTGCACGATTTATTCTGTTTGTGTTATGTATTTAAAAAGGTATGAAAGGACATGAAAATGGGCGATCGTCAGTTTTAATAATCGCTCTTTTCTGAAGGCCTAATGAACTTCAAAACCTTATTATCATATAAAAAAGAAGATAACGAGAAAATTTGAGGTCATACTGTGAAAATTATTATAAATAGTAAAATGCCCCGCCAAAGCGAAGAAATCAAGCATACGGAAGGTCAGCTCCTGGAGTACTCATACTTTTGGTAAAGCGTGATATTTATTTCGTGTAGTTTCTACTTTTTTATGTGATACTATACCCTTTCCTCTCACAAAACCATTTTAGGACAGTTTTAAACCCAGGAATTATGGTTTTTCTGGTTAAAAATTTTTTATTCGTGTTACTCCCTGATGACTTCTTTATCTTTAAAACCGTTTGTCTTACGACCAAGGTCCTAACATAGGCCACCTTTTAAATCACTAGACGGGTATCCTCTAGTGTTAAAGCTCCCCTGGCCATTGAAGCATGTAACTCAATAGAAAACAGTAAATTATGGTTTAATGTACCAAATGTACTTACGTTATAGCTTTAGTTAAACAGCTTTAAAGATCATAATTGAAAAAAAATAAGTCTAAAAAATTAAAAGCAGAATTCTTCCGGAAGAGACTTAATGAGCCTGCAGGTGTGATAAGAGATTTTAATTACGCTCTGTTTACAAATGTATATTGGAACATGCGCTCCTCAGTTTTCTCAGTTCTTGTTGATTAACCATTAATGGAAGCGACAACATATATATTTATATGTATATTTTAAAAAATCAAAATCAGAGGAGTATAAAGAAATAATTACGGAAAAAGCGTTTACATATAAATGAGCAAGGAAAGGTAACTTAACTGGTATTCTCTACTGCATTAGCGTTTTAGTTCATTGGGAAATAACTGCCTATTTAAGTCCTTTCCTTGAAAATAATTTATACAAGTTGCACGGTAGTAGGTTAGCAGTCAAGCCTAATAATGTAATAAACTTACAGGGGAATGAAAAATATAACTGGTATAACTTATTTACTCTCTGAGTATACCCAACATGAAAGATTTTGAGCTTATTTTAGAGATTAACAGCAAATTTTATCTTTATTTTTATCACGACCCCCTTGAATGAACGAAGACGAGGTAAATAGAATTTTAACTTAAATATTTTAGCTTAAAGGCAAACTTAATTACTAAGTAGCAATCATAGAAGACGATTTTCCATCTCAAGTGGGCGACGGTTCACTAATTCGAGCCTGCTATCCTCAAGGAAAAAATATACGTCTGCAGTTAACATCTATCAATAAACTTGGACATATAATACTTTTTTACTTTAATAAGATATAATAATGGTTACTAAGGCAATAGTATAATTAATACTTGTTCTTTTAACGAAACGCCTACTAGTCAGGCGGAGGATCTGCAAAGGAGGATGGGTTTAATCTAACAAGCTTCAGTGTTATAACATTAATAAAAAGCTTAAGTGCTTTGTTACGTAACATATAATGAAACATTAAATAAATTTTCTTTTTAAAACTATAAAATTTCACTAAGTCAAAATTTAATAACGCCCAAGGGCCGGCACATTAAAACTACACACGATCTAGTGGTAAACTTACCTATAGTGATAACTGTAAGCTAAGCTTTTAAAACCCAACGCCTTTTTTTAAACTGCTTTAATACTATGGTCTGTAAACCATAGTATAGTGCTTGTGCCGACTGTAAATGTTTTGCCTTAGTCTAAATGCAAGAGTGTACCACAATTTTAGGTAGAAAGCTTCAGTATTACTGGACGTCCCAGGTGCCCTTAGCAACCACAGCCGTGTATTAAAAAATTGTCCTTTGCTCGTTTTATTAGTATTAATGCGTATTGGTTTTAGCTGCGTTGTAGTTCAGATAGCCCCCTTGAACTCTTGCTCTGGCGATACTACAGATGACCAAGAAACATGACGGTCTCTTATTTTATCAAAACTTATGTTAAAGGGCATTTAAACTTTAGCCTTCTGTAAATTTTGCTTTATCCCGTTATGCATATTAATACTTTTCAAGTGGTTATAGAATAGCTGAGTAATTCATCTTTCATTGTGCTTCATAATGGGGCATGATATTAACAATAGGAAAAAATGAAAACGCTAAAGACTGATGACTCTCTCGGTAGCAAAGATATCGACAAGAGATTGGCCGTTTATTTGGTTTCTAACTATATAACAAAAAATTATATATATATTTTTAATTATAATTTTATAAGTCGAACAGTGGTATGACAGAGGGACAAATTAAAAGTGTACTTTTGAAACCAGAGTCCGTAAGAAAAGAAATGTTTTCAACTTTTATAAAGAGAGAGGATTTGGAGAAAGTAATTAACCGTTTTTTTTATAAGAAAGAGTTTTGATTCGTATAGAAATCAGAGGGCTCGGTCGGGATATTATGCCAAAGAGCTATGTCCACCAAGGACGAAGTGGACGCTCTGGATGCCATAAAAGCGTTACGAGTTGGTTTGAAAAACGAACCCATAAGGTTATCCCTTTATACAGAAAACATATTCAGACAGAATTACATCTTTTTTTTAAAGCTATTACAAGCTCTTTTTTCATGTTATTAGTGCGTTAATATTTTATATAATTTAGCTGGATGAAAGAATTTGAAAAAGAGAAGGGTCTTGATAAACTTTTGATAGTTCTTCAGGGTTACATTACTAGACCAAAGTAGTGAAGTGAATATCCTAAATTTTTTAATTGCCTGTCACTTTTAGTAGTGAGATTTAGATTTATATGTTAACTCGCTTAAATTTATGTTCGCGCCAATTGTAAGCTCGCGTTATCTCTTATAGGCGTGAAAGAGGAGAACTCAGAAGTTCCATTTTGTTGGAGATTCTTCGTGCAATAACTCAATACATGAACTACAAGGTTTACTGCATTATTTTTTCTAGTGATCACTGTTTACTTTTCTCATTTCTTATTACCAACAGGACGGCATGCACTCTGTAAGAACGAATCCAAAGTGTTTAGCTCTTTTGGTCCGTTTGCTTTATGAGAAGAACTACAAGATTGTCCTCCATGTCTTGATTACTCTTGCTGTGGTGAGCGTTTCTTTCCGGCTCCCTTCAAATACGTGTCCACTCAGCTTTCCTTTCAGGTCTGCGTATCGCTTGAGGATGGGAGACTGCTGGTCATCGAGTCATTCAACGCCCTGCTTAAGACGGTGCAGGCGAAACATCGCTTCGAAAGACTCATTAAGCTTCTTATGAAGAGAAGACCGGAATGCGGTGAGTACAAAGTAAGTAATGCTACTGCCGGTACTGCGCATATCCGCCTTCTATATTGCGTAGGAAATGCTCATGTCCTTAATTAACGGCATCGTCAACACCCGCCACGAGTTACACGGCTTGGAAGCTCGCATCGCTCTCCGCAACGAGTTTTATGCGCTCGGCCTCGGAAACGCCTTTAAGGCGCGTACTTTCTTAGTAGCATGAGCCTGTCAGTTTTTCACGCACAACTCCACGCCCCTTGCAGGTCCTCAAGGCTGTTCCCCCGAGCGAGGGGCTTCTTGTGCAAGTCGATATTTTTCTGAACTCGGCTCGCGACGATCACGAACTCGTTCTGGAAAAGCTTCAATCCATCAAGCAGAGCTTGTAAGTTTCGTGTATTCTGCAGGAACTTCTCTTTTTGCTTAATTCCCTCGTGATCGCATAGCACCAACATTGACGAAGTTTATGCACTGCTTGCTGCAAACATGGCGCCTGGCGTTTATGAAGAGCTGGCCTTCTTGCAAATTCTGCAGGTAGCACGAAAGCCATCAGCTTTTTGAGTCGCTATTACTTTGTATATTCTTGCTAGTCAGTTTTATTCTGCCCCTCCGATCCAACTAAGAGGTTTCGTTACTATTATTATTATTATTATTATCATTTGCATTGTTATTAATATGACTATTAGAAAATATTTTTTTATGTGCATTGAAGCCTTCACCGCTGAAATAATCGTCCAACCGCTAACCATTGACCCGGATTTTTTGAGTATAATAATTAACATATACATCTCCGTTAGCAACTGTTTATTTTGGACCAAAAGATTTTCGAATTGAACGGAATGCGAATAAGACGTGTAGCAAAGAGGATCAGAACTTCATCAACACCAAAATTACTTCGATCGAAGTTATATTTGATAATATATGCGGAGGCCTCAATAACTGCTCATGTGTTGTTTTCGTAGCAAGCCATCGAGATTCATCAGAACTCGCTTTCCTCTCTTCAAGTCGACCTAAAAAAGCGTTTCGGTATTATCTTAATTTTGAGTGCAGAAGCACGTGTCATGCTCTATTCTTCGCAGACGCTGCAAGCGAGGCGTGCCGCGATGCAGCCGTGGAGCTCAGCGTTTTGAAAACTGACAAGGAACGAATGGAGGCTGAGATCGCCAGAAACTCCGCGGACACCGGAGAGGTTCCCCTCAGGTCATGCGGTCTGGCATTGTTGCTTACTTTTTTTTTGCTCTTGCTTGCAGCAAATAAAGGCAAACACTGCTCAGTATGAAAGTGCGTGCGAACAGGCAAAGTTGCTTAACCAGGCGGTACTCCTCACTTCTCATTTTCACTTGTTGAAGTGCCGTTGTAACAACGCCGCAGATTACAGGAGATAAGGAAGCATTAAAAAAACTCTCTGAAGTAGCTGGTGGTATAGCCGCCTTCCTCTTTGCCGCATTCTTTATACATCTCCACTCCCAGTGTGCACAACACCGGAAGTGCCCTTGCCGGCGCCGCCGCCTTCTGTTATACCACCACCTCCGCCCCCGCCCCCGCCCCCAGTTTCCGGAGCAGCCTTACCTCCGCCTCCTCCTCCTCCTCCACCAGTCGCCGGGGCCCCACCGCCGCCGCCTCCTCCCGGCATGACCGCTCCCCAAAGTGCGTTTGTGCGAAGATACTCTTACCTACTTAAGTACTGCCACGTGAATAATGCAGGCCGTACAAAGCCTAAAAAAAATTGGAAAACCTCTCAACCTATGAAACGTTTGGCTTGGACTAAAGTTTCGCTTATACTGTTATCCTCTTCTCCTTACTTTATTATTGTTGTTCAGATCCAGCCCACCAAAATTGAAGGTACATTTTGGGAAAAGGCCAACGAAGAGCCGTATGCGCAGAATATTGATCTGGACAAGTTTGAGTCCCTATTTTCAGCAAAGAAGCCTGTTTCTTCCGAGGAGAAGAAACTCCCCGCGAAAAAAATAGGTCTGCTTTACTCGGTCTACTTTGTATGGATGGTAGACCAATCCGTTTTTTGGTAGAGCAAACTGTGCTGGATCCAAGGAAGCAGCAGAACTTGTCAATTCTCCTCGGGCGTCTGAAGCTCTCCGTTGACGAGATGCGCGCCATGTTCCTGGAAATGCACTCCTTTCCGCTGGAAGAAGCCGTCCTGGTGAACCTTCAAAAGACGGCACCCACCTCGGAAGAGGTATTTGTTGGTCGGTGTGACTCTCTCAGTACTGGCACCGCCGATTTACCAGCTGGCAGCGTTGGAAGACCCGCCCTGTGCCCGCGACGAACTGAGCAAGGCGGACATCTTCACGCATACGGTACAACCGCAGGGTGTCGAGGAATGACCCAACTCGTGCTTTACGTTTCTTCATCGTTCTGCAGATTTACACGACAATTCCCCGTTTTACACAACGACTGGAAGTGCTTCTGTTCACTTCCAAGTTTGACGAGAAGATCAGAGACGCACAGAAGGTAACCGTTCTCTCTGCCTCCTCATTGCCGCTGCGCATCTTCGTGGGCTTTCTATAAAGGGTCTCGAAAGCATCTTTCTGGCGTCCGTGGAGCTCAAGTCCAGTGAAAAGTTGACTAAAGTTTTAGAGGTTTTTTAATATTTATTGCGTTTAAAAAACTTGTCGATGATCTCGCTTAGATTATTTTATTGGTGGGGAACTACATGAACGGCAAACCTTCGTTTGGCTTTAAAGTTGATGTGCTCCAAAAGGTTGTCAGATTTTTGCTCAGCCGCTTTCGCTCGTTAATCGCCGGGTCCTGTTCGTAGCTAACTAATACTAAAGGAACTAAGAACCCAAACGTTACCCTTTTGCATTATATCGTGCAACAATTAAAAGAAAAGCAGCCCGACCTTTTAAACTTAAGTAGTGAACTTCCCCATCTGGCGGAAGCGAGTCGTGGTTCGCTTCTCTCTTATTTTTTTTTAAAACTTAATAAAGTGTATTTGCAGTTTCTACTCCGCAACTTCAAACAGAGAAAGCGCAGCTCGAAAAGGGAGTTCGTTTTATTGAAAGCGAAGTTGCACAGCATAGAAACCCTCCTGCTGGGGTTTTCATATAACCTTTTTTTGATAATCCTCCGTTCACATACCTTTTGTGCAACCAATAGGACAACTTTGTGCAGTTTGCTCAAAAGTTCCTTAACGACGCTCAAGTGCGATTGGTCAAACTAAGGACGACCGAAGAGCGAATGACAAAGGCGTATGACGATTTAATACAGGTCTGTGATTTGTCATACTTTCTTACAGTGCCTTTTCATTGGTCCTTTTCTATCTTGTAGTTTTTTGTGGAAGACTCCAAAAAAAAACCAGAGGACTTGCTTTCGCTTTTTGCTTCCTTTATAGACTCTTTTGCTGTATTGTGACTTTTCAACCGGAAACTTTTCGTGTATCATATTGCTTGCAATAGAAATGTATAAAAGACGTGGAGCTACTCGAAGAGCAGAAGGAAAAAGAACTAAAAATGGCGGAGGTGCTCTCGCTATGTGCCGGCTTTATTTGTGGCGTGTTATTGAAAGCTTATTAGAAAAAGGAGGAGCGGAAGCTTAAGGAAGCTCAGCGCAGAAAAGAAAGGAGTTATAATCCGTCAGCACTGAAGCCTTCCGGACCGAGTTTGCTTTACTTTCCCATCATGACTACTTTCCTGTTTATTTATCTGTTTTTCTGTACAGGCGAGATGATGATGGATGATCTCATTGGGCAGTTGAAGTCGGGCGTGCTGTTCCGCAGGGCTAAGGACGAGGAAAATAAACCAGCACGCCAACGGAAAGGTAACGTGGCTTTCTGATTCGCCAAGTATCCGACTTACGGGTATCTCTACAGCTAAGGAAGAGGGTTAAGTCTACCACTCAATAAAACTTCATTGTAGTTTTTGTACATCAATGGCATTACCCTCGTCTCTCTGTCCCCAATCACTTCCACGTGAACACTTTTACGATATTGCGTTCACGTGGCTTTTGCTTAGTTTATCTAAAACCGGTAGCAGCGAGCTTTCCTCTCCCGCTTCTTGTGAGTCGCCACAGGAAAGTCTCTCTAATGCCTACGGTAGCAGTAATTTGCCGGGGCTATATTTAGAAATTTCTTAAGTTATTCTTAAATTTAGGAAAATTTATAATATACTGTTTGAGCGGCAGATTCGCGGCGCAAGTATTTAATAATAAGTATAAAAAGTGTGACAGGAATGTGCTCTTTAAGTCTTTTCTTAATCTTTGAAGTTGATAAATTAGTTTAATTCTTCCTGACGCCAGCCTCATTTACGCACCTTTATATATATATATATATACATTAATTTTTTTCAAGGCCCACCGCGAGGCGGCTAAAAAATTCGCCTTTTCAGAGTGTGTAAAAAGTTCTGGGCGTGGAAGCGGTTTAGATGATTCTCTACTTGTTCTCAGCGGTGCATTTAGAGAATATTCATGACGAGATGTAAATGACATTAAGTAGAGTGTCGTTGCGCAACGCAGTACAGTACGCCAGCCAACAGTTGCAACAGTTTTTCTATTGAACTTGTAGTGCCATTATAGCTGGCGGCTGGATAATGTTTATACCGGCGGATCTATTTACGCGAAGACATTCTTGCTCTTTACGCACAGTAGCTAAAAAGCGCTAGCGTTGCCAGCATGACTTCCCTACAACGCGCTTGCCGTGTTGTCACCACGATCGATGTATAGAGAGCTTTTGCTTTTTATCGGGTTAATTTATTTCGAAAGCAATAGCATGCATAGTGAATATCTTGTCGCCCCTTTTGTTTTTTTTTCCGACGGAAAGGCATCCATAGTAAGACTGCAGGAGACAACGTTCGACCTCACTGTGCAATTGATATTTTATACAATCGAGTGATTTCCCTGGCTGCACTTAGCGCACTTGGCAAAAAAATAGTCCGGAAACCCTTGACTTTGTATAGTCAGGTAATCTTTTTCGCACTTATTTTCTGAGTCGAGTAACGTGTCCGTTCTGTGCGCTTCGCTTAAAACGTTGACAGCGAGGACACTGCCCCTTAAGGTTATTTATATATTATGAGTTGGCGTCCTCCAGTCAAGAATATACGTCCTCATTCCCATTGTAAGAAAGGGTCGAAGAGTAAACTCCAGTAGTAAGGAAAGTCAACCTTTAACAGTCTTCTAGTAGAGAGCACATTAGTTGCATTTTTTATTCAATACATTGAAATTTATTTGTAATTATTTTTATTAAAATTATAATGGCTATAATATTATAAATGTTATTACTATTATTATTATTAATATCAATACTATTCTTATCACTACTAATTATTGGCGGTAGTAGAGGAGAAAGTATAACCAAAGTATTCAGTATGTCAGCTAAATAGGATAGGGCCCACCAGGGTTTTTGTCTCCTATATTTGGTAAACCATCGAAGGGCGTAGGTTATTATCGTAGATAGCAATTTGTTTGAGTGAGTGCTGGTCTACACAAAACATTTTTCTGCGTTGTTTTTAATAAAAACCGTGATAAATTCAAACTTACAGTCTCCTTGCGGAAGCACGTTCCTTAAAACCACGGGCGTTGGTACACAGTCGAAGAAAATTACCTCGTAGGGTTTTTAGCCTATTTAAGCGTTTCATAGAAGATTAGATCCAAGCAGAAGACGCCTACGTAAGTATAAGTCTTAACATGCATTTATATAGAAGCAGCTTATTACTAAGGTTTAACTTGCTCTTTTTATATAGTAGGGGGGTATAAAAGATGACTAGTAGTTCAAAATTTTTTCAGTTAAGTAGTCCCGGTGAGGGTCCCACTTGAACCTGTAGTCAATAATTACACCTAAAAACTTAGCCAGCGGACACCAGAGGGGATCTTTATCAAGAATGGTGAATTGCTCACAGGGCGACGTTTTCATTTATAGACTTGATTACTGCCTGTTTTTTGATAATTTTTTACATACTCACGGTTGGTAGACTTCTAATCAAAAAAATTTTTGTATGTGCCACTATTCGCCGAACAAGAAAAGGTTTTCCCAAAACTGATCTAAAAGCAGATCCGAAACTACGATTGTCAGAAAGCGACGGTGTCATAAAAGACAAAGTGGGTATTCCAAAAGGAAAGATCGAGGCAGAAAATCTGTTTGCGTTGCAACTACCATGTGTACAATCCGCTAGAAAAGAATGTTATGCAATGTTGGAGATCATTTGCCTATAGGAGGCACGTCGAGAAGTTGCGCTTTGTGCAGTACTGCAAAAAATCAAAAACGTAGTGCAATTGTTTGTATCAAATGCGAAGTGACTCTATGTTTAGAAATGTTTCGTGCCCTTCCACAATAAATCAGAAGGTCTGAAATGAGGCTGTATTTTTTTGAAAGAATTTTGTTTATTTTTACAGAGCATTAGTATTGTCTCTTAAGAAGACTGAAATGAGATGATATTTTTGTAGAGAATGTATTATTTACATTAGGCATTAGTACCTGTACCGTAGGTATAAAAATAGAGCTTTATTTCAATTTTTCTTTTTATTTTGAACGAGAATATATACCTATATTTTTTAAAAATAATTGTTCTTACTTTTTGCAATTGTATATATTTATAGAATACAATTTAAGGTTTTCGTGATACTATATGCACACCAATAAGTGTGGCAAATATTCTAAACCAGTAAACATTACTGATGTATTATCAGCTATACGGTTACTGTAAACATAGTAACCCTACCCTCTTTCAAAAATATAGAATCAAATTTTGAAAACAAATATTGAACTTTAAAGTATATTTTCAACGTAGAAAGTGATTTTTCCGTTTGCAAAACTCCCCAAAAAAAATTGATGACTAAACTTTAGAAATTGTCTTGAGGCAGAATACATAGCAATGGGTAATGCCTTCAAAAGAATAATTGCAATAGAAAACCTTATCAAAAACTACTACTTGATATAAGAATCAAGTTAACATTCTTACACCGACACCGAAACAAAAGATTGAGACACGTGGACGTGGCATACTACGTTATATACAAATTTAGCGCGACCACTATACTATAACTTATATATTAACGACCCTTAATAAGGCTGGTATTCTAACAAAATATTTACAAAAATACGAAAAAAATACATATATAAATATTTTAATTTGAGCTTCACTTAAAAACTAAAAAACGAGCATTTGATTATTTGTGTACCAATTTTTACTGATTCCTCGAGTTCTTTTTTTTTTAATAAATACTACGAAGCTCTTATAATATAATTAATCCCGCAAACTTTTTTTATTAATTTTCTTTTCGCATATTTTATTTATTTTATAAAAATATTTCATTTTTAATTTCCTATATTTTTAATAATTATTTTATTATAGTAAAGTAGCTTGCTTGCTTAAATACGTACAAAAACCTAGTTAACGTCAGATGGTTGTGAGTTAGGCGCCTACACCCACATTGTTAAAGACAAGGAGCTTATAAGCAATGTAACTTACGACAAAATCGTTATTAACCCAATTTTTCAAAACTTATTTGAGTAGATAAATAAATTGCCTTGATCACAGAAAAGACCATTTTAATAACTACTTTAAACTTAACCTAATCTCTGTAGTAAGCTTAAAAAAAAGGTTACTTTGAGATAACATAAGTTTTTATAAGAAAAATAAAATAACATTGTAGCACAAGGGAATAGAAGAGAGGAACTAGATTTCACGAAATACGAATATAACATAGTATTAAAAAAAGGAATATTGTAAGGTCCAAGAGTGTTAAATGTTTGTAAGAAGTATTTCTTTTTGACAACAAAAATATTTTTCAAACAACCCCTACTTCTTTTTCTTCCTTCTGCACAAAGGGCACTACCTACTAAACCGCCTTTACTATGAATCCTGAATAAAAGATCTAAAATTTAGAAAGCAGTCCTAACTCCGAAACCAACAACATTATAATGCAGTTGTTGAAGGTAAAAACTATGAACTAAATAGAAAACAAAACCCATTAAAAAAAACCTAGCTTATACTAAAGAAGTTCTTCAATGATGCAAACAATATACAAGACCAAATACTTCAGAAAAACCTTGCGTTTAGATCAACCTCTTTCAGTACGATAGAAAACAACGCTATTGAATTTTCAAGTAAAATTAATTAATTCAGGTCACTAAATAACAAGCCTAAAAAAAAAATTCGTTATAATAAAATATGTAAACATAATAAAAACGGTCGGATACAATACAAAAATATCAGCAGATATAAAAAGCGTTGAATATGAAGAACAAGTGCGAATAAGTAAAACTATTAGGTCTACCTTGCTTAGATAAAATAGGAAATAACACCGTTAAATTATTAACTAATATCACTTAGTCCAGGTCAGTTAATATCTAACCACAAAAGCATATAGCCATTATATTGCAAAATCTAAACCTTATAACATGTCAAATAAAATTGAAATTCATCAAGATATAATTACAAATATATTAGCAGGTTGAAAATGCATTGATGAGGATGAAAAAGACTGCCAACAGGAATAACTACCAAAGAATTTGGAACGCATTACAATGAGAAATAGCAAACAGGACAACGCATTATGAAATGTACGCAAGCAACCCACAAGTACACTAAACAACACTAAACCACACAGAAACTAGAATTAAAAGAGTTAATTAAGGACACCGTAACATTTCTATGTAAACCAAATATTTATTATATACAAATAGGGTGATTATCGATTCCGTTACATCTTTTAAATGGAACGGAATTAAACATGTTTATTCAAATAATCTTGCATTTAATCTAATATATACATAAATGGAAATACTTCTTCAGCCTTTTGTAAAGTGACTTAAACGGCTTCATTACCGCAATAAAACATAGATCTGTGGTCACCCCCAGCTGAGGCTTAGTGTTCAAAGTTTTTAACTCGATCGAGTGCCAGGGACTGTCCTTAGTAAATAAGTAAAGTAAATAATAAAACAGCTCCCGTTTCCCTTTTCTCCTTTTTCATTTGACGGTATTATTCCAGTGCAGACAAAAAATACTCTCTAAAGATGTTGCAGACAACGTGATAAAAAAAACACATTTACGAATGCTTTGTTAATTCATAATACTTTAACACATTCTTAAGCGATACAATCATTAGACTAAATACTATTATAAAATAGCAGTTAAAAACAAACTTACATAACTATTAGAGCACAATGGTTTCGAGACGTTATTAATGGGTTGTATTCCTAACGATCAAATTATCTTAACTACATGGCGGGTACACATTAAATTTGATATATGAACAAAGCCAAAATAGTTTCCAGAGGAATTCAGCAAATTATTGCCACTAATTATCAAGCACTTTTTTCTCCGTGGTTATCCAAATCTTTTTCAAACTACAATTAATTCTATCTAGCATATGCAAGTTGGCCCTCCATGCAGTAGACACAACAACGGCATTTTTACACACTGAATTACAAAAATCTTTATCTGTGCATACACCACAAGGAATGTTTTTATTAAAAAATAAATTATCCTATCTTCAAAAAAGACTAACTAAAAATGTACTTTAAAAATTAATGTTTCCCTCTACAGCCTTAAAGAGTCAACAAGTCCTTTTATTGATAAATACGGAGAATCTTTCTTTAAGAGTGCGATTTTTCTTATTATAAATAGAATCTACTTACTTTTACTACAGACGTTACTACCTTCCATAATATAGCTAGACTCATTATTTATTCGAAAATATATTACTTGTTATCGTCGACATTTGTTTAAGTTTGCCGGTGTAGGCAACTCTAGGCTCTAAAGTGGCTGGCATTTTGAAAATATATATTCGTTACGTTTATTTTTATTCCATTCCTACAATTAGCCCAATTCTAAATGCGTTTTGCTCTTTATAGGTATACTTGGTGCTATCAATAATTTTATGAGTTGAATACAATTTCATTATTAGCTAATGATAACCATATGAATAGGTAATAATTCTTTTATAAAACCATGAAGTTATAATAGTCTTTAAATTTAAAAAGGTGTAATAATGGGTATTCGACTTGTAAAAAGTATCTTAACAAAGCTTTAGCACAATTACATTTAACATAAAGTTATAATAGTCTTTAAATTTAAAAAGGTGTAATAATGGGTAGTCGACTTGTAAAAAGTATCTTAACATAGCTTTAGCACAATTACATATAACACTCCGAAACGAGTCGCGCTGTGGCGTCCTCGTTGGTATAAAGGCCAAAACTAAAGACAGATCCCGAGTTCGCTCGGGGTCTCCGGGTTCGATTCCCGGACGAGGAAAACTTTTTTTACATTTACTCTACTTTTTTGGCTTCCTTAAAGTCGGAAGCGTATAAGCTAAAAATATTTTCTCCTTGTCAGTTAACTAACATTAAAATAGTTATCAGTATATTTTGATAATTTAACTCTCAATTTTTTTTAGGTATTTTTTTTATTGAATGGATTCTTATTTAAAGTTACGTGGAGACTTGTAGTTTCGAATCTTTGTCTTGGAAGCTTTTTTTTTATAATTTTGTTTTTATAGTCTAACTTAGAGCATTACTACTTTATTATTTATTATTTATTGACCTTATATATTTTTATTAAAATTTTCCTTGTTCAGTTAGGCTTCATAGTTGGGAAGGACGCCAATCGTTGAAAA